TACAAAGATCTACCTTCTCCAGATAAGCAAATATCATAATAAAGCTTTCGACGTTAACGCTATTTTTTATAAAGGCACGCAAAAAAGAGTGTCCAAACATTTTCGTGTGCTGACAGGAGGAATTACCTTGCAAGTGAACTCTTATTTTTTTATTATTATCAATAACTATCATTTAAAAAAAAGATGATAATATTATCGAATTGATCGACACAACGCTATTGTTTTCTAATCGACCACCCGTCTTCAGGAATGCGTGACAGGCCACAGTAATTGAATTATTTTAAGCCGCAAACATGTATCATGATATATTATTCAGCTGCTTCTTCCTCGTTAAAAAAAAAACAGACCTTAAGGGGATTCTAAGTCATGGTTTGTGTTTTTCTGTGGAAAGGAGAATTATTTTTCCCCTTAGAAATGTGAATGTAACGATTATATTTCCTGTCAATTTGTTGAAACAACGCATCTAAGGCTAATTTGCATACCGAGAACGAAGTCACGTTCATCGTCGACAAGAAAAAGACCCAAGGAAAAGCGATTACTAAGTTTTCTCCACATGTTTTCAAACGTCCAACATTTAAAGGGTCTAATGATATTTAGTGATAACTGGAAACGTTAAAGCTGTGGAAATTAGTCGATCAGATGCGGACCCGTTACAATTCCAGCTTTGCTGTCAAAATGGCGAATTTTGGAACATTAACGGAACTTTGCACGGCACGCAAAGAAGAGTGCCCACAAATTTTATTGCGTTAAGAAGTAGACTGGTCTTAGTACTTCTGATTTATCATAGACTTGAGTCTGGGTCAGGTGCCACTTTTGCGAAATTACCGTTCAGCTCTAGTTATGCAAATTACTTTTCCTGCTGAGCAAATTAACGGTCATTTAAAAAAAATCATATCTCAGCCAACTTTCCACAGAATGCAACCATTAAACATTGAAACTATTACTGAGAGTTAAAATTTTTGTGTGTAAAATAATCAGAATATTCGGCTGTGTAAGGTAGGTTTGACAGAGCCCTAAAGTTTCACCAAAATCGCACTACTTCCGACGGCAAACTGACTAGTTTTAGGTGACCGAGAAAATCTTCCTGTAAAATAGAGAAAAAATTGAGTTGGTCCAAATAAATGTGATATTTCTTCATGGGATAGGATAGTCATCTTCCACTGGAAAAATCAGGGCAATCCGTGATAGACCGAAATTTGCCTTATAAGCCTCTTAAGTTGCCCAGAATGTTCCAAAATGTCGGCAACGCGTCAATAAAGGTTCGTTTTCTCATGGAACAGTCTGTACCAATAAGTTCAAATACCTTTTGGGGACCCCCTTCCTTGAAAAAGGGCCCCCTAAAATTACAGAAGGGGGCCCATCTGACCCTCATTGGCCAATTTTTAGAATAAACCCTGCTTCTGGTAGTATGACTCTGCCAAGGAATTGCGGTTGACGTTTTAGTCGCTGTATTTGTATCCTGTGCTTACAACCCTGCTGTGTTGTGTTTTGTAGGATGGTAATATCGTAATCAAGAACATTCAATTTGAAGATGGCCCCCTTGGACACAGAGAAGTCAGCATTAAATGGAAAGATCTTATATTTTATCAGAGACTAGAGGTGAGTATTTTAGTATTTTTGCCATAGATCGCGTGTTTCAATATCTCTTGTAATTTTAAGGTTAGACTTCATGTGTGCAGAATCTAATGCAAATGAGCGAGAACAACAAAATGTTCCTACTAGTAAAAACCAAAGGTTACGGAATGTGGGCGACCACGATCGAAGGTCAAAACGCTTTTGCTCCAAAGCTGTGCTGTGCGCAAGTTTCACGTGACGGATTGTTAAAACACGCGTGAGTGCATGAGTGATAGAAGGGCCAAACGTGCGTAATGAGCATTCCATTCATTCTAAGTGGAGTCCAAACGAATGCAGGCTACATACATGCGACGCTTGCGTAATAACAACCTGTAGATTAGGATTGCGTGTCCCTCCTACCGCCGGCAATAAGCGTTAATTTCGGCACGTGCCGGTGAAGTTTGACGTTTAGAACGGGCCTAAGAGAAATCATCACTTGTCCTAATTAGGCATGGATACCATGTCGAAGAGGTTAATAAACTAACAAAATGATGTAATGAACAAGACAGTTAAATTCTCCCAACTAATTTTATAAGGAATTGTAAAGTTCAGTCTGGAGTATTTATATGTGGATGTACTCGACTACTTATTTCCCTCCAACGTGGCGCGGGTTCATCTGAGGCGGACGGTCATGTTGTGTTTGTTGATGCTTCTCTTCCCCGTGGCTGATTCTTTACCGTGTTGCTCGCTGGCAATTCGCTAGATGTGTACAAACATACCAAAGCTAGATATTGTTAAATTTTCGCGTACATTGTACAAACGTTTTAGATGTAGAGGAAGTGCACCCATGTAGTGGTTATTCGTCTGGTAATCTTGATCGTATTAGACTGCAAAACAGTCGGGTTTTTTTTTCTCAAAATCGGTTTAGTGTAGCTTAAGAATCTCACACGTTCGAAGAGCGCCAGCCTCACACGGTCTCTTCAGTCTCGCTCTCCGTTTTCAGCCCCGCTTCAGACCTTTTGTTTGACTGTTCGCGCGTACTTGAATACGCAAAAATACGGACTGTTTTGCAGTCTATGATCGTATGGAAATTTGGAAATGTTGGTATCCGCAGAGAGGGGGAGATTGGAGTACCTGGGGAAAAACCTTTTTGAACAAGGAAAGAACCAACATCAAACTCAGCCCACCTATGGTCTCGCTTCTGGGACCCAGCAACATAAGTGTAAGGCGAGTAGTCTCTTTCTTGCCTTCCACTTGCAGCTTACTCGGAAAAGGGCCCAGATTTTTGCAAGCGCCAACGAAGCAAACTTATTTGTGAGACCAGACCTAAATTTTTGGTATATTAATTTTTGGTTTTCAGGTTATTGCAGGCCCACCAGAGAAGCTCAAGATTCTAAAGTTTGATCATTCTGAGGTAGGTATGAAAAACGCGTGTCTTGGACCCAGTGTTGCAGTGGTCCATCTTCAAATTTTGATCACTGAGTTCAATCTATCAATGAATGAGTCCCAAACCAATTGAAAGAGCGTCCTATGGACGCTTGGTCCCCCACGTGGCATTAGGTTAAGAGGCATACGCACATTTCAACCATGACTTCTTTGAATCTTCAACTCATAGATAACATCACAACACTTTCATGCACAACAATGTTGTGTATGAAATCGTTTTCTCTCCTCAGTGAGTCAGAGAGCTTTCCAGTTGTCGGAGCTGACCGGCCAGCATATTCCCGTCCGGTCGTAATGAGAATTTTACTTTTAATCAAAGCGACCCAGCCAGATTAGTCAAAGTCTAAATAGTACGCATCAAAAACTCTTGGAAAAAGCCCATTTTATTTTCAAAATGACTGGTCCGGCCATGGTCCAGCCGGCCAGTCCTGACTTTTGAAAAGCAGTCTAAGTAAGAGGGCTCGTTGAGATTGCCTCGACCTCTGACTTGCTGTAGTACAAAACAACATTGCTTGGCAAGCTTCCTATGCGTTATCAAGCCTACTCTTGTACAAAGTCGAGTTCATGTTGTGATTTGTTTTACTTGTTTTACAGCCACTTTCGGTGTTTAACGATGCCAAGATATGATGCCATTTCCCCTTACTGTTCAACTGTGCGACAAGCTTGAAAACCCTTCAGATGAGCCTAATTTTAAGGTGGTCCTTAATACGGACAAAGGAATTAAGGTGGGGATCTCAGTTTTCGTTATTCAATTAAAATTTGACCAAGCCTTTAATAGTTTGGTCTCCTTTTAATAAATGCAGCTTCAGTAGCCTGTGTAGCAGGCGCTTGGAAGTAGTAGGCCTGAGAAAAACACGGGCGCGCGAGAAGGAGACACGCGTGTCTCCCTCGCGCGCGTCCGTTCTCTCTTTCGCCCACTACTTGCAAGCGCCTGCGACGAAGGCTACAGTTTTAGTCGAACCTCCACTAATGACCACCTCTCCACAACGGCCCCTTTTTTTGTCACAGGGGACAGTCCATACATTAACTCTTGTCTAAACCTCTCAACAACGGCAACGGCCACTAAAGCGTGTTCCCAAGTGCTAAAATAAGGGAGTTTAAGCTACGACGACGGCGACGGCAACGACAACGGCAAAAAGACAACAGGTTAGATTTGCAAAACAACAACTTTGCACGTGCATCACGCTTTTTTGTACATTTCTTAGCCGTCGTTGTACGACCACAACGTGAAAGTGCCTAATTTCACGTTTTGTCGAGGACGGGGACACAACACAAGAACTTTCCTTTTCTTTTCCTGAACTTTGATACAATCCTTCAGAATTCGACTCGAGAAAAATTGCCCACATTTGACGAATTAAAGTGACGTTTTCATGGCCGTCGCCGTCGCTGTTGCTTAAGCTCCCTATTACCTGTCGACAAGGGCCAGTTTTTTCAGCAACCGATCATGAAAAAGTCAAGAATGGTCATACAGTTTGATCCTTATGGCGCGTTAGTGATTCATCGCGGCAATCGCATTTTGATTGTGATCCATTTATACTGCTGCAGGGAGTATAAATTGTCTACGATACTTGTCGCGAATGTTGTGAGCCCTGCTTGTTCTGTCAGGTTAACATTTTAATTCAAAGCAATATTCAAGTTTTTTGTGTATTTTATCTCTATGTATTATATATGATTGGATTACCATTATGGAATACAATAAGAATGAACTTAGTAGCGCAATAAACATGTTGTACTCCCTACCACCCCATAACGGCCACTTTCTTCTGTCCCCAAGGTGGCCCTTGTGGAGAGGTTCGATTGTATTATGCAATCTGCGACCTTTTCTTGCACCTACGAAGATCGGGTCGAATGAACTGTTTTTACTGCCGTATTTTTTTTAGCGTTCTATCAATGGTACGTTGTGCACCTGACTATGCAAATTTATATAAATCTGTAAAAAATGATGTTTTTCTTGGTAAGAATCTAATTGTGGGCACTTTTATTAGTTTATTTTTTTCAGTTGAACTCCAGCACCCGCTCAGCAAAAGACGGACAGCAAGGGCCAAGCAACGTTTGGTCAACCTACTGTGAGCGCAACCAAGTAGGTGGAATATGAACATAAGTCTTCTTGTGCCCCTGTTCCTGCCTCTTACTTGATAGTTCTTACCCCAGTCCTTAACGAACGTTACTGAGTCAAACAAAAGCTTTCTTTACTTTGTATACCATCTCCTAATCCTGCTACTCGACAATTTGAATTTCCTCTTAATGGACGCCTCTGTTAGTGGGACACCTAGAGTTGGTCCCTACAGTTCTTCAGTCATTTTCCTTCGACTCTCAATAAGATGGACACATCTCTAAAAGTTGGTCTCTTTAGTTCTTCATTCATTTTCTTTGATTCTGTATAAGACGGACACCTTAAAACGGACACCTAGAGTTGGCTCCTGCCATTCCTCATTCGGACACCTCATTCGGACAACCATTCTTCATATATTTTCTTTAACTCTCTATAAGACGGGCACGCCCCTAAACCGGATACCAAGAGTCTGTCTCCTCCCTTCTTCAGTCATTTTCTTTCAGTTTGACTCTTTAAGACGGACACCTCCCCAAAAAAGAAATCGAGAGTCGGTCACTACCATTCTTCATTTATCTTCCTTGACTCTCTATAAGACGAACACTTCACTTAAACGGACACTAAATGCCGGCATACACTTGGTGCCGATCAAAAAATATCCCTCTGTCGACTTTAAGAGCCCCAACCTTGGCATTTCTTAGGAACAACCTCTTCTTCGGTCATAACTTTTAAGTGTGTAAAATAACTTGGGGTAACGTGTGTTTGGAAATCAGGGGAATGTATGGAATAAGAATCAAAGCTCTTCTTGGAAGAACTGCATTGGATGCGCCTACGATAAGCGTGAGGTAAGTTCTGTGAAGTAGATCAACACACATTTCACAATAACTCAGTGATTTGGTCGAGAGCTCTGATTTATGAGGGTTTAGACCTCTCAAATGACTCCAAATGTGTAAAACTTTAGTGGAACTGCGAACTGCACTCCAGTGGTTTCACTGTAGCGTATTAAAGATTTTCACGTTATCTCTGTGGTCTGTAAGAGTATGGACAATGGAAAATTGTTGTTTATTCGCCGAAATATTCCATATTTTGTATCAACAGCGATGTTGAACGTCGCATTTAAAGCAAAAGGAAACGGCAGAGACCGTGACCAATTTTCGCGCTATAAATGGACTATTGAATTCGCTTTTGCCGTTTTTGGAGATAGCTAGTACATCGCTTAGGAGTGAATATAGTACATACGTTAGCGCAAGCGTTGGAAGAAGTCTGACGCGTCAAAGCTACTTGCGATCGCTTTTCTCAAGTTAGTGCTTTTGATACTGTAATTTCCTGTGGTACCTACCCGCCACGACTAGCTGTACCTATTTGCGGGTAGTTATATCTGTACTTTCATATTCTAATGATAAAGTTATTGTAGCTGTTATATGTTTGCATTTCAGAGTGGAGCCTGACCCATCAAAGGCTGTAAATCTTAACGTCACGTTTGATTCTAATGCACCTTGTGTCGTTGGAGAGTTGTTACCAAGTAAGTGAGACCATTTAGATTGCCAGTAGTCTGGTAGGACTGTTGCGCAGGCAAGTGTATCCCATGCAAGCAAACGGGTTTCCAGTTTTGCCGTCAGTCAAAACTTGCCCTCTCCATAGGCTGGATTTCCACCGCTATCTCGCGTCCGGTCGAGGTCGCAAGCTCATAACGGACCTTAAGCAACGACGACGGCGACCTCAACGAGAACGGCAAAAAACAATAAGGTTTAGATTGGCAAAACAACAACCTTGCGCGTGCATCACCTTTTTTTTTTTGTACATTTCTTTGCTGTCGTTGCACGAGTGCGACGTGAAACTTCCTAATTTGACGTGAAGATAAGACACCGATTTTCTTTTTTTTTTTTTTTCGTGAACTCAGACACAGTCCTTTAGAATTCAACTCCTTAAAAAAATAGCCATCATTTGACAAATTAAAAGAGTTGGGATAAGAGAAATGAAGTTTGAAACAGCGCGAATTCACTTTTTGGGTGACGTTTTCTCCGCCGTTGCCGTCGTCGTTGCTTAAGCTCCCTAGTTACCGAACAGCGACTGATAATCGAGTCTAGACTACGAGTAGTTCCCATTTTTCCTCAGGGATAGTAGAGCGAGCGAAACGCGAGCGCGCGTGAAAATCACCTCACGCGAGAAAAGCGAGACGGGGCTACTGACGGGTTAAGACCGCATTGCAGGTCAAGTACTATGTCTAGTGCATTTTAACCATTTAATCCCCAAGAGCGACCAAAATCCATTTTTTCCGATCAATATCAAGACATAATCAAGAGAAAACGTTATGAGAAATAATAAAATGATCAACTAAGGGAAAATGCTGTGATTTTTTTCTCCATTTTCAGCAGCATCTGACTGATATTAGCTATAGGAAATTCTCATCCAAAACGGAAGGTGATATGCAAGGATTTGGTCGATTAGCACCCTCTGGGATTTCAGACCTACATGGTGGCAATTCTCCCAACTAAGTCTCAAGGGAAATGTATGGAGATCAGTATGGAGAGTTGTGGGTGGATATCGAGGCTTAAATACACTTGGCTATGTCTTTCTGTGCATTGCGCTCAGCATTGTGTGACCAAATTCCGGGTGTTTGGAGATTTATAGGATTTTACTTTAACCTGAATCTGAGTTCTAACCATACAAATTCAACTTTAAAGCAGTTTGGTCACGTTAGGCCATTGATATATTGAACGCTTTTATCTAAAAATTTGATTGACTCATTCCGTGGGTGGGCTGCAGGTTGGGGAATGTTTTGTCCCTCAAACTAACCTACTGTCCTGCGTTTCAGCTGTTTCAGCCCATGTCGTTGGAGAGGACGAGGCTGTAATGAAAGCAGCAAGTGCTAAGGACATAGTGTTGAAGATATGGCACTCTAAGGACGGTCCAGTATCAGACAAGCCCCCAGCCAGGGTATGTTATACTAGCCTGTTTTCTTTCAAATCACATAGTAACTGGGTTTCACAATATATGCACTGTAAAACTGTGAAAGGTTTGAACCCAGGAGTCATTTCAAAAGGTTGAGTTTGATCGTCCGAGTGAACGTAGTCCTGAATAGGACTGTTGTTGTTGACAGTGACTGACGTTTCGACAACCTGTGCGGTAGTCATCTTCAGAGTCAAAGTGAGTTGTGTCACGTCAGTTGATGGTATTATACTCTGGTTATTGATCTGATTGGTCAATTATGTCGCGATGTTATTGGTCGTCTGTCAGTTAAGCCGTGATGTTATTGGCTATGAAGACTCGTAATCAGTGATTGGTGCGTGTCGATCCGTCTACTGTTCACCAGTATTCAACTGGCTCTAGACTGTACTGAGAACGCTATTAAGAACTCTACTGTTGAACTACCACTACCTACAGACGACATTATGGACCTACTCAACCTCTGTTTGACTTCGACGTACTTTCAATACAACGGCAAACACTACAAACAGTTACACGGTACAGCTATGGGCTCTCCAGTTTCTGTTGTTGTAGCAGAAATTGTCATGCAAAACATCGAGGAACAAGCCCTAGCTACCTACACGCGAACTGTACCTCTTTGGTTACGTTACGTTAACGACACATGCACCGCCGTACACAAAGACGGAATTGACGATTTTCACGAGCACCTTAACAGACAGAACGCGGACATACAGTTCACCAAGGATATCGAAGAAAATGGTAAGATATCTTTTCTAGACTGCTTGGTCACTCGCGACAACAACAAACTAAAAACGACTATTTACAGAAAACCGACACATACCGACCGATTACTAGACCAGTCTTCGTACAACCCGACCTCTTACAAGGCTACTACTATCCGGACTCTGACGAGACGAGCGCAACTAGTTTGCGACTCACCTGACAGCCTACAAGACGAGACTGATTATCTTAACAACGTTTTTAGTTAGAACAATTACAACACGCACTTTGTTAGACGGAACACTCACAGCAACACTGAGTCCAACTCTCAGACAAACTGTAGCCCTGTTACGACAGCGACTATACCGTACATCAGAGGCACCTCTGAAACTATTGCGCGTATATTACAACCTTACAATGTACGTGTTGCGCACAAACCGATAACCACTTTACGGCGACTGCTTACTAATGTCAAGGACAAAGACAAACCGGAGGACAGACAGGGAGCAGTATACAAGATCAAATGCTGCGACTGCCAGGCTTCTTACATTGGTGAAACCGGCAGAAACCTAAGCACGCGACTGGCCGAACACAAACGCGCGACGAGGAATGGTGACATCAACAATCACATTGCTGAGCACCATTTAAAGACGAAACATCAAATTGACTGGGACTCTGCGACATGTATAACGTATTCTACAGACTACTATCAACGTCTTACTTTAGAAAGCTGGTTTACTAACTTAGAACAAACGCCACTGAATCGTAGCCAACAGTTACCAGCGCCGTACAAACGACTTATTGACGAGATCAAGGAAAACTAACTACGAGAGAACAACTGGAGAACTGACGATTTGACTAACAATAGACCACTGTTTAACTGTGACAATAGACGGATCGAAACGCACCAATCACTGATTACGAGTCTTCATAGCCAATAACATCACGGCTTAACTGACAGACGACAAATAACATCGCGACATAATTGACCAATCAGATCAATAACCAGAGTATAATACCATCAACTGACGTGACACTCACTTTGACTCTGAAGATGACTACCGCACAGGTTGTCGAAACGTCAGTCACTGTCAACAACAACAGTTCTATTCAGGACTACGTTCACCCGGACGATCAAACTCAACCTTTTGATATACACTGTAAGTGTCAAGATTCTTAGGCAGTAACTAGCCGAGAGCTATTGTCCATCGCTGTCGCTAAGATTTCAAGTTGACGTTATATGCAATCAGTAGGCGGGAAATTGAACTTCAAGGAAATCGTTATGTCCTAGTTTCCCTTTGTTTCCTACAAAAGTAGCTGGGCAGTGCCGGATCCAGACCTTGAGATAAAGGGGGGCCGGTCATCCAGACCCTTAGATAAGGGGGCGGTCAAAAATAAAGGGGGGGGAGGTCGGGCCCCCGAGCCCCTCCCCTGGATCCACCACCGCAGGGGGTAATGTTCCTAGTATCCGGGGGAAATTCCCAGCCTTTGCCTCTGAGTCACCGCATATCCACAGCAGAAGGGCTTGGTTACTATTCAGAAGTGGTAAAATGACTGGACTATTGTTAATAACTTAAACTGTTATCGTACTGAAGCCACAACGGTGTAGCATGATGCCGCTATTAATTGAAACCACCAAGGATTAACATTTTACCTATATTGTTATTTTGTTAAGGCCACAACGTTGTACCCATCAAAGCGGAAGTTAACGGATTAAGATGGAGAATTCTACTTCAGGTAATAATAATAATAATAATAATAACAAGAAGAAGAAGAAGAAGAAATATAAAAACTTATATTGCGCATATACAATGGAAATATTTTCATATACGCATTACAAACGATGAGATAAAAATAAGTCAGTTAAAAGCTATCTTAAAAAAGTAAGTCAATTATAAGCTACCTTAAAAAAAGTTAATTAAAAGCTATCTTTAAAAAGTAGGTTTTGAGAGCTGTCTTGTAAGGCTCTGAATGTTTCTTATCTCCGCCGGAAGACTGTTCACACAGTTCACACAGTTTAGGAGCTGCCGACTGAAAGGCTCGGTTACCAAGTCAGTAGGTAGGCACCGTGCGTTGCCTAGTACCAACAAAGTCGCATTCCTGGACCTAAGCTTATTTCTTGACTGGGCAGCGACGGTAGTAAGATCAACCGAAGTATGGTTGATTGAGTACTTTTCAAAGCAAGCAATGCAAATTTTTTTAAGCATTCGCTTATAACCATATATTGTAAACTGCACTCACTAGGGACCTCAAAGTACCAGATATGTCAGGTGGCTATTGTATGGTAGTGCAGTTTGGATCTGCAGGAGCAGCCACACTCTCTAGTAAACCGGTGAGAGTATTGTTTGTATAACGTGGAGTCTTCATTACTAGTTACTTCTTGCACAAACCCTTATTCTATTGGTAATAACACTACTTTGAAGAGAACTTGCAATTTTATTTGTAAATTTCTGCAACGTTAGGAAGAGCTATCTTGAGGGAAACACACAGAATACCACCTTGTGGTCTTTTTGTTGTCTGCAAAGTAGGGAAGGGCTAACTTGAGCACAACACACCAAATACCACTCCCGCGTCTGTGTTTTTTTTTTGTCTGTTTCCTTTCCATTGTACCTTAAAACTGTTGTCCTCTATAGAGGCACTTCTGTTTAGTGGCATCTTTTACAGTGGATGCATATCATTTTTCTACAAATTAATCGGTTCAATTACCTTTAAAAGAATGTGTTGAGGAGAGTTGTGTTTAGTAACAGTCGAACCTATACTAACGGCCACCTCTCTACTACGGTCACTTTTTTGGGCAGACAGTCCATATATTGACTCTTGTTTAGATTTCTCTACAGCGGCTCCTTCTCTGCAACGGCCACTTTCTTCTGTCCCCCAAGGTGGCCGTTGTGGAGGGTTTCAACTGTACTTACTACCCATCGTTCGGAGAGTTCGTTGGCCTCGTCAGCTAAATACCCTCCCAATTCTTAAATATAGTAAGAGCCAACTATGTTCGCTAACATAGAGTTTCACTTACTGTCTCTTGCAGATCACATTTACAGCGAAGGCTGGTCTCCCTGTGAAGCTTGAACCGGAGAAAATGCCTGCGACTCCTACTGTTTCCAACACTCAAAGGACCAACAGCCGAACCCTGGTGAAGACACTCAAGTTACAACTTAAGGTTCAAATATTTACTGTTTTTTTTGTTGCTTTCTCTCCTCACTGTAATGCCAAAATGACCCCATATTTTCGATTACCGTCTCTTTGCGATGTCATGCGTATAACTGTAGGCCAGCGTCGGTGAGCGTTAGGGAGATTACGCAACGACGCGACGGCAACGAGAACGGCAAAAAAGCAATAGGTGTAGACAAGCAAAACAACAACTTCGAACGTGCATCACGCTTTATCGTACATTTTTCAACCGTCGTTGCACGACTACAACTTCACGTTTTGTCGAGGACGGGAACAAAGGATAACAACTTTCTTTTTCTTTTCCTGAACTTTGATGCAGTCTTTTAGAATTCAACTTCCAAAAATATGCCAACATTTGACGAATTAAACGAGAAGGAATAAGCGCAGTAAAGTTTGAGGCGGCGCAAATTCACTTTTTAAGTGACGTTTTCGTAGCCGTCGCCGTCCTCGTTGCGTAACGATGTTTCATAATATTGACAGGCCATACACGACTCCCTTTGGCCAAGTTGTTGTATATCTTTGACCTTTAAGCTTCATAGTTTGAGTTGTTCATAATGTTGACCGGCTATTCACGTCTATCTTTGGCTCAGTTGCTGTTGCTTTGACTTTACCTTCATAGTTTAGCTCTTACGAGTATATCTTGTAGTGACTTTCCTCTTTTGTAAGATATTACGGGAGGGTCTTTAAAGATTTCTCTAAGCAACGGTTGGTTCTCTATAAGATACCACTTGTGCATAATGATTTTTTTTAGATTCGGTACTGATGGGCGATATTCTGTCACGAATGGTAGTATTTTCTTCTGCGTTTTTGTTTTGTTTTGCAAAGCCGACATTCTTTCGTGATGCTTGACTTCTGATAGGTGCTTATCTATCACTTTATCTCTATAACCCCTCATACGGAGTCTTTGCTTGAAATTAGTTACGTTCTCTTCGAACGTTTTCTCAGAAGAGTTTGTTCTGAGTAATCTTAAGGCCTCGCCTTTTATGAATCCTTTCTTAACCCCTGGGGGGTGACATGAAGAGAAGTACGTGTATTGGAAAGCTTCTGTCGGTTTGAAGTGTGTACGCACATCTAGGGTTGATTCCTTCTTAAATCTTTCTCCTTTGTAAATACATGTATCCAGAAAGGCGGTTTCTGTTTCTGAAACTTCAGCAGTAAATTTTACGGTCGGGTGGTGTTTATTTGCTAGTTCGATGAATGAGTATATTTCTTCTTTGTCTACATTCCACAATGAGAATATGTCATCGATAAATCTCTTCCACACTAGTGGTTTGTGCGGACTTTTGTTGATAATTTCTGTCTCTATTGCAGACATAGAAATGTTAGCAAATACAACTGCCATTTTTGTTCCCATAGCTGTACCTTGTACTTGGCGGTAATTTTTTCCAACAAATTGGAAAGAATTCTCCTTTAGGATTAGTCTGAGCATATCTGCGAGGTATTGGCTGGGTATTGGAGGTTTGTTTTGATAGAATGTTTCGTACGCTTTGCATATAATGGTAATTCCTTCCTCCTGTGGGGTGTTTGTGTATAGGCTAGTTACATCCATAGAGACTAAAATAGCATTTTCTACGACCCTGGTTTTCTCTATGAAGTTGATAAAGCCTGTCGTATCTTTAAGATACGATTTTTGCGATTTAGCAATTGGTTGGAGGAGACTATCAACAAATTAATGATGAGATTCTTTCTGTCGGGCCTTCGCAGCCCGATATGATCGGTCTTCCAACTGGTGTTGGTTTGTGAATCTTTGTGAGAGTGTAGAATTGTTGTATTCGCGGCGGATTTGGCATGAGGGATAGCCATCGTCTTGTCATCTCGTCTATATGTTTTTCTTTGTAATGCTTATCTATCAATTTCTTGACCCTTTCAGAGGTTTCTACTACCATTGGTGTTTCTAAGGGTTTGTAGTTTTGTCTGTCGTCTAATTGTATTTGACCTTCTTTTATTTTGTCTTCTTTGTTGAGAACAACAATAGAAGAGCCTTTATCTGCTCGTTTTACGTTGATGTCCGGGATATGTTTCAGTTGTTTGATGGCAAGTTGTTCTCTCTTGGGTAGATTGTTTCTAGGCGTGATTGTATTTATATTAGCAAGTTGTAGTTTAACCTCTTCTAGGTATGTTTCTAGTGCGACTGATGGTTGGACTGGTGGTTCCCAGTCTGACTTTACATGAAAGGGGTGTTGCTCTTTATCTTTTCCATGAAAGATATATTGTAGACGCATTCGTCTAGCGAAAGCGTTGAAATCTTTTAATAGTTCTGCTCTAACGTGACCTGTGTTTGTCATTGGTGCGGGGATAAATTTAAGACCCTTGACAGAACATTTATCTGATCGCGTGTCATTTTGTAATCTGAGAGGTTTTTGATATGTTTCTTTCTTGCTTCTGTTATATTCTTATCTAAATCACGCGCTATTTTTCGCCTCCGTTCATTGCTTTTTTTGGTTGACAATGACTGCTTTTTCTTTCCTCTTTCCCTTTTTAGATAATCTATATTCTCAGAAAACACTCTCGGATAAGATTCACTTTCTTTATTCTCTTTAGCATTTTGTAAGACATACTTCATTTTGTTGAGTTCGTCTATTTTCTTCTGGATATTCTCTAGTTTCTGTTCGTGACTGCATTCTAGAGTATTAGATGGTAGAGTATTAGATGGTACACGTGATTCCTGCTCTAGTTTTACAAGTTTAGATTTGCTTCTTTCGACTCTACGGTCGAAATGACGGAATATCGCCCCTCAGTACCGAATCTAAAAAAAATCATCATGCACAAATGGTATCTTATAGAAAACCAACCGTTGCTTAGAGAAGTCTTTAAAGACCCTCCCATAATATCTTACAAAAGAGGAAAGTCACTACAAGATATACTCAACAAAGAAGACAAAATGAAAGAAGGTGAAATACAATTAGACGACAGACAAAACTACAAACCCTTAGAAACACCAATGGTAGTAGAAACATCTAAAAGGGTCAAGAAATTGATAGATAAGCTTTACAAAGAGAAACATATAGACGAGATGACAAGACGATGGCTATCCCTCACGCCAAATCCACCTTGAATACCACAATTCTACACTCTCACAAAGATTCACAAACCAACACCAGTTGGAAGACCGATCATATCGGGCTGCGAAGGCCCGACGGAAAGAATCTCATCATTTGTTGATAGTCTTCTCCAACCAAAAATCGTATCTTAAAGATACGACAGACTTAATCAACTTCATAGAGAAAACCAGGGTCGTAGAAAATGCTATTTTAGTCTCTATGGATGTAACTAGCCTATACACAAACATCCCACAGGAGGAAGGAATTATCATTATATGCAAAGCATACGAAAAATTCTATCACAACAAACCTCCAATACCCAGCCAATACCTCGCAGATATGCTCAGACTAATCCTAAGGGAGAATTCTTTCCAATTTGTTGGAAAAAACTACCTCCAAGTACAAGATACAGCTATGGGAACAAAAATGGCAGTTGCATTTGCTAACATTTTTATGTCTGCAATAGAGACAGAAATTATCAACAAAAGTCCGCACAAACCACTAGTGTGGAAGAGATTTATCGATGACATATTCTCATTGTGGAATGTAGACAAAGAAGAAATATACTCATTCATCGAACTAGCAAATAACCACCACCCGACCACAAAATTTACTGCTGAAGTTTCAGAAACAGAAACCGCCTTTCTGGATACATGTATTTACAAAGGAGAAAGATTTAAGAAGGAATCAACCCTAGATGTGCGTACACACTTCAAACCGACAGAAACTTTCCAATACACGTACTTCTCTTCATGTCACCGCCCAGGGGTTAAGAAAGGATTCATAAAAGGCGAGGCCTTAAGATTACTCAGAACAAACTCTTCTGAGAAAACGTTCGAAGAGAACGTAACTAATTTCAAGCAAAGACTCCGTATGAGGGGTTATAGAGATAAAGTGATAGATAAGCACCTATCAGAAGTCAAGCATCACGAAAGAATGTCGGCTTTGCAAAACAAAACAAAAACGCAGAAGAAAATACTACCATTCGTGACAGAATATCGCCCATCAGTACTGAATCTAAAAAAAATCATCATGCACAAATGTTATCTTATAGAAAACCAACCGTTGCTTAGAGAAATCTTTAAAGACCCTCCCATAATATCTTACAAAAGAGGAAAGTCACTACAAGATATACTCGTAAGAGCTAAACTATGAAGGTAAGGTCAAAGCAACAGCAACTGAGCCAAAGATAGACGTGAATAGCTGGTCAACATTATGAACAACTCAAACTATGAAGCTTAAAGGTCAAAGATATATATACAACAACTTGGCCAAAGGGAGTCGTGTATGGCCTGTCAACATTATGAAACATAATTAAATTTTGGGAAAAGAGTTGTAGAGAGTTGCAGTTGGTTGCCTTCAAAGATTTCGTCCGTAATTAACTAGTCTCAATTTTAGCTACTGCTACTTTGAAGATGAGTAGCAAGTCGCTGAAAATGACCAAAACAAAAGAAAAAAATGAACAACAAAAAGATGACTCCATTGACGGCGTCGATGAAGCATAACACAAAGGTGGTAACGATTTTGTCTCCAAGAACTACGTTTACGACATGATGAAAGTGCAAGAGTCGATGTCTCGTAATTTACTTGAATCCATGTTGACCAGTGTTAACAATAGAATTGATGGTGTGATCAAAGACCTGACAGAATTGAATTCAAGTATTCGTATCACCTTAATCTCCTGCCTAGTAGCTTAAAAACCCTCTTTTTAAGTAATAATCGGGTTCACCATTATGAAACTCGACAGGCCTCTCAGTATAGACCTCATTTTCGTATAACTGATATTAAGCGGTTCAGTATCCTTTATCGAGGACCAAAAATCTGGAGTTTGTTGCCAATTTCACTAAACAGCTCTTCTCCCATATTTCCAAAGACGTTTTTTGTTTGTTTGCTTATTTATTTATTAGATTTAACATAACAAACGTTGGGCGTTTTTTTCTATTCTGATCTGAAACCAACTAATGTTGCAGCTCTTGTTAGTTGCTGATCTCTCAACAACGTTAAAAAATCCTCAGCATGCATATTTAAAGGTCCATTTCAATATTCAACATTGCTTGATACACATTTGTTGAACAACAGCTCAAGCATTTGTTGATCAGCAAATGCTGAACTGCGTGACACTGGCTTTAGGCAGCTTTGAGACAAGATTGCTCTCTCTGCCGTTTGTTTTAGGACAAATTTGATAACCTGACTGGTGAGAATCTGAAAAGAAAGGTGGTTGTCAAGGTAACGACACCATCAGAAGGCATTGACGAGATCCCTGCTCTGATTGGAAATGTATACTCCTTGGAAGTACCCCTGGTCAAGGGCGTGGCCACAGTACAAAACCTCCTCATTCAAGAGAACACTGCAGGCAAAGACTGACAGGAATACCTGCTGAACTTCAATACTCAGATTCCTCCTAATTCTTCGCCTCATCCTATTCCCGTGTTTACATTGGCATTCTTGTTTTACAGTGGCAAGTACTCTTCAGTTTCATGTAGTGCTGACTTTCTTCTTCATGATTAACTTAAAGGATTTCCGATAGTTTGCTTGTTTGTTGTGTGACCTTTTTTGGTTTGAAATAGCAAACACACCGCGGTTTTCTGTAGTGCTAATTTTCCTCTCCCTTATAAATATTAGCACAAATTAACAAGTGCTCGTTCTTTCTGCGACCTTTTTTTGTTTTACAATGGCAAGTACACAGAACTGCTAAATTTTCCCTTCATGATTAACTTAAAAAATAAAATTCTTGTTCTTCGTTGAACCTTTTGTTTTAGAATGGCAAGTGCACCACGGTTGTTTTATAACAAAGTGCTTAATTTCCTCTACCTTTAGGCAGGGTTTTAACTAACACAGCATATTACATTAACAGTACTTTACTTTTTTGGTTTTAGATGTAAGGAAACAGCAACAGATGGCTCAGCTGACAAAAGAAAGAGATCACTTATTTGAGACGATACGCACCTACCGGCTCCTTTTTGAAACTACGCGACAACTCATTAACGAGATGCAAGGTTGGTGGCATATTTTTGGTTCTTTGCAGTCGACCACATTAAAATTCGTCCACAGAGGTGGCGAGGGGGGTGAGACACAAAAATCTGGTCCCAAGAGTGACTAACATCAGTTTTCTCCTAACAATAACACTGCATCATCAACAGAAAAGGTTATGAGAAATAATAAAATGATCACCAAACGGAAATGCTTTGATCTTTTATCAAATTCTCTCAACTAATTCTGTAAGGAAATTTATGGAGATCAGTCTGGAGAATTCCTATGTGAATAGAAATCCTCCATAAAAAGACTCAAAAGCTGACGCATCGAGTGCTAGCCCGTCGACAGACCCTAAGAAGTGAGCCATTACTAGAAGGCAAATAAACTCTGTGGCCATTCTCTTCCCCAGCCATGTTAAGGTATATTTATGTATTTATTCACTTATTCCATTGCCTTGTGGCGATGATTTTCTGACATGAGCAGTGACCTCAGTAAAATATGTAGCTAGTCGATTTTTAGGCAGCGTGGCCGAGCGGTTAGAGCGCTGGACTTACAATTCGGAGGCTCCGAGTTCCAGTCTGGCTCCAACTGCTAGATGGATTTGTTCACGGTAGTCCCGAGTTGAAATCCTCGACCACGCTTTTAAATAGTCAGCTGGTTTGCCTCCGGCCAGTTGGGATTCTTAACCCAGTGAAGTTCAATTTGAATTATTTGTTTCAGGCATTTGCTCGGCCCCACTAGCATTAGTGCTATAAATACTGCCGAGGGTAAATATAACGGAATTATTATTTTTATTATTTAAGTTCCATGTTCGTGGATATTATTGATACTATATATATGCTGTAATTGTTAAATCAGTTTTTATTTTTTTTATTGTGAGCTTATTTTCATGTATGTTAGGGCTTAAGATTTGAACAACCAATTTTATAATTGAGCCATAACATTTATTTTGGTACATTACAGTGTCAGTGCATGAAGCTTCTTTACAAGAACAGAAGCTGAGAGGGGAACTCAGAAAACAGAACATTGCTCTAAAAAAAGACATCCCGGAAAGCTTAATTTTACTTATTTTCACCAAAAAAAAAAAAATATTACGGTTATTTATACTGAAGGAAGTTAAGGCCTCTCTCCATAGCAAAATAATAAAACTTCTTACATTTGATAACTTGTTCCCGCCACTACGACATTCTCTCTATAACTCGTACTGAAGTGACGACGGCTATCACGTTTTCCCGCCAAAATGTCGCTGGTTCGCGCGCGAGCACCACTTAAGTACTGAGAAAATCTCGTACTCGTAGGCGTACTCGTCTCGTAATCTAAAGCTCTTTAATCACTGCTTGCTTGTTCTTAGCCCACAGCTGTGACGACATTGATAGATGAAATGTCAAAAAAGAGAGATCAGATCGCTATTACTCCTCGCAGACAGTGTCTACTTCACCCTGGACCCCGTGGAGACTCTGGTATTCTGGGAAAGGTTTGTTCAGTGTACTTTTCGATGAGTTCACACTATGCTTTAGTCTGACAATTTTTTGCTCTTTTTCTAAAGCCATAGCAAAGAGTGGTTTTCAATAACCGCTATGCATGTTTACGTCAGACGAGTATATTTCACCACCCAGCCTCGTTTTGAAGTTGAAAAGTTACCAAGTTGTGCATAAATGAATTACCAAGGAAGAAAAGTTGAAAAGAGTATTCACGCCCAAAGAGTGCAAATGGGAAGAGTTTTGCTCACAAACGAGGCTTGGTGAGATTTACTCGACTGACGTAATTATGCAACTTTAAATCTTAGTGACAGCCCTGACCTCGGTAATGACGACACTTGGCTCTACCTCGTCGGTATACTTTTGTTGCGTGTTAGCGCTAACGCTGTTCTCTGTTCCCCCTGCAGGTAGCTCATTTAGCTCAAGTGGTAGATGACGACGTTGCGCGAGTACTGTCGTGGCACATGGCATCCGATATGGACTGTGTCGTTACTCTCACGACAGAAAAGGTAATTTGTTCTTAGACTTTCAAAAAAGTCCTTTTTCCGATTTAATATGGCGCGGACGAAGGTCGACCTCTCGCGGTCACTTGCTAAGAAACTCGTGCTGTCGACCTGTAGCAAGTCTAGTTCGTTCCCTAAACCTCGTGTTTTGCCTGCCGTGCTTTTCGCTCATCAAAAACTCTCTCTCCTTTTGGGTAGCCAGTATGTACGTAAGCTATGCTGTTCCGGCTCTATCCTATTCTACTGGACCTGTCGTTTTGTGCTCTGTCTGGAGTAGGGTGTTTTTTTTATTGCTGACAAGCGTTTGCGAGGTAGTAATACTATTCTTTATGTAGCGAAAAAATGCAATTTGTAGTATTCTTTGTGTAGCGGCAAATTCAGTTTGTGTCGAATGTAAGATCACCCGCAAACACACTTGGTCATGACTAGCTTAGAGGTCTTCTTATATGACGTAGTATATCCGCACAGCGCTCGAGCGAATGTTCAAGTTCCTGACAAACGGACAATCTTGCCTGTTTAAACTGTCGGATTCTTTTCCTTTTCCTCCGGTGTTAATAAAATCAATTGACTTAAAGGCTTCTGTGTTACCTCAGGAATGAACCGTAACTTAAGTATTTGCCTTACTGGTCGGATGCACACTGATTTCATGAGCGAATGTTTTGCATCAACGGGCAAAGTCAGCGACTAATATTTTGGCACAAAACTGTAAATTCCTCCGCTGCTTATTTCACAGTAATAATTATTACCGACTCACTTCCGTGACCCTCACACAAGTCCTTTTGTAGCTCTCTAAAAATAACCAGTAACGTGTATCTAGTTTTATGTCACTTTTTGAATAACACGGGTGACTGTTTATTTTCAGGCAAAACAAGTGTATCGCGACTCTAATTAATGACCAGCAACAAGTGCTACCCTTGGATTCTATCTTCTGACGTAGTTTACCAGAATGGAATAGGTACAGACCATATTAAACCCAGTTATCATAGACGCTGTGTCTCTCAGGAGTTTTCAAACCCAAACCTGCTTAACATTTCTATACCGTAAATCCTCTATTAAGAGCGAATGCACAGAAAAATCGAGCAAAATCGGCAAATCGTGGCCACAGCTCAAAACCTAACTTACCCTCATTTTCAGTCTGTAATAAGGTTTTAATGAGTTTATAACACTGCTGAGGTTTAAATTTCAAGATGCAGCCGAGTTTGAGAATTATTTGAGATTTTTTATTTCAACGGTCTGCTGGCCTAGAATTATAGCCGCCAAACACGGCAATATAGCCTAGCGACAGAAATGAGCTGACTTTCATAAACGAGCAAATATATTGGCAATCTTCCACTTAAATCTCAAAAAGCAGATATGTAACAATTTCTGAACGGCACATTTTTTAGATTTAGAGTATAAAATATCGACGAACCAGCAGAATTTTTAAACGTAATTTGCATAATGCTTATAAATACAACAATCTACCGCTAAAACCAAAATCGAATTTTCTATATGGGGGAATTCTTCAAATCACCCCAAATCCCGCTTACTACCCAATGAGATATAGTACTTCAACATTATCTGAAAGTTAGTCTGGTGTTCTTGCGAACGCTTGTAAAAGAGATTGATTATTTTGAGGTTATTTCGCCCCAAACAACTGCTAATTGACCCCAGGGTCAATTGACACATGCACGTCACCTTAGTTTTATGCATCGATTTGAGCTCGTTAAAAGGGAGAAACTAACAAGATTCTTTTAATATGTACCTGTTTTAATGAAATACACGCAATCTTCAAAAGGAGAGGCCGTTCAATGGGTAATTTCTGTTATTGAGATCTTGTAGATTGCAGCATGGCGTCTGCGAGTGGACCTGGGTCTATAAGGTCTGTTTTTCCGTGACTGCGAAATCAGAATAACATCAAGAAATAATTCTCCCTTGAATCTTCGTAAATGAATCAGCTTTGCAGTGCCTTACCTGAGATAAAAAGTGGGCCGAATAGGAAAACATTCTAGCGCAATTTGGATCCTTTGCAGCACGTAGTGTATTGCTAAGCGGCGATGGTATCAATGATTTTTAATTAGTTACTCACCTCCGATTGCGTGACCAGGCAATTACCGATTGTCTCCTGCGAAAAATAAGTACACAGGAAACCAAAGCTTTCGGGATACAGCAAATTCATTTTCCTGTACGACCAGGTGTCCTTTTATCCTATTTTAAAAGCGGTTGACTAAGATGATTAGCAAACATACTGTCCCACTTTTAATAATGGTACAGTAACTGAATGTTCTGTTCTTCTGATTTTACCCCCAACCCCGGAGTGTTCAGCAGATATATTTGCACTACGCATGAAAGGCAAATGGATTAAAGTTTAAGGTTCAAGGCGGTTTTAAGGCATGGGTTACCAGTGGAGCAGTCAGACTTGTCATAAGGTGCATTGAACAGAAAATTACAGGCATGATATCTCTGCTGTTGTATGTCCATTAAGTGATTTTCCAGCAAACATTATTTTTTGACTTTTTTACCCAAAAAGTTTTTTCCGTTCAATTCTTATCTATGAGATCTAAACTTAGTTAAACTTCTGTAATTTGTTGTTAAATGCAATTCTGCAAACAACTAAGTATTTAATTTTGCGTAAAAGCTACATGAAATTGTACTGTTTAGCCGTAAATCATTAAAACAAACAAACTATTTTACAAGCGTTCGCAAGAACACCAGACTAACTTTCAGATAATGTTGAAGTACTATATCTCATTAGGTAGTAAGCGGGATTTGGGCTGATTTGGAGAATTTCCCCATATAGAAAATTCGATTTTGGTTTTAGCGGTAAATTGTTGTATTTGTAAACATTATGCAAATTACGTTTCAAAATTGTGCTCGTTCCTCGATATTTTATTCTCTAAATCTACAAAAATGTGCTGTTTAGAAATTGTTAATAGCTGTTTTTTTGAGATTTAAGTGGAAGATTGCCAATATATTTGCTCGTTTATGAAAGTCAGCTCATTTCTGTCGCTACGCTATATTGCCGTGTTTGGCGGCTAATTTTAGGCCCGCAGACCGTTGAAATCAAAAATCTCAAATAATTCCCAAATTCGGCCGCATTTTGAAATTTAAACCTCAGCAGTGTTATAAACTCATTAAAACCTTATTACAGACTTAAAATGAGCGTAGGTTAGGTTTTGAGCTGTGGCCACGGTTTGCTCGATTTTTCTGTGCATTCGCTCTTAAGACCTCCCTCCACTTCTCTCAAATAAACGCTCTCTCACTAATAAGCCCCTCCTTTTCAGGGAAAGAAAGTTAATAAGCTCCCTTCTCTTTAAGCCTCCATCTCCTCCTCTCCGCTTATTATTCCTCACTGTTTTAATGATAGACTGTGTTAATCAGTCACGACAGTAAAACGTCGTGTGGACTGATCCGGGATGGTTTATTAACCAACTGGAAGTTCGGATTTGTTTTTGATCCTCGGCTGCATGACCTCCAACTTTTTGTACTGGAGCTTTTCCGCTTTGTATTCTAGTTCTTATGGAGAACTGATGCCATCGTTTCTTCTAAATTAGATACTCTTCCCCCGTCAAACGGGCTTGAAATTAATAAGCCCCCCGGGGGGTCTTAATAGAGGATTTACGGTAGGTCGATTTTTAACCTACAAAAAATTGAGGGAGTGCTCAAGTAGTGCCAATCATCTAATCAATCAATCTACTACATTAAGATGAACTAATATTATCTGCAGGTTTAACCTGGCTTACACTCTCATTCATTCGTGTAGACAGTTGTGACGTCATATAATGAAGATCTATCTTTGAATCTGTAGGCGAATTCATATAGAACCCTCTTTTTCGGTAGGACCTTATGCGTGATTTTTCTTTCCCAAATTTGTGAAAATTAGTCTATTAACCCCCAGTGCATTGGAAAAAGTTAGCAATGCTTACAGACATGTCCGCAGTGGCCTGTGAATATGCTAGTGAGCACGCTCAAGAATTTACCAGGGGCTTCAAGAATTTTTAGCCTGTAGCGTAGCTTAGCAATCAGTAATATTGACTGTTAATTTTAGAGCTCTTCCATATATACGAGGTCAGAGCAGTTACAATCCGTCTGGTAACCTGTGTACGCAAGAGATATGTTGATGTTTCCAACAGAGGCGGAAAATTGCAAGCTAGGTAATACGAATGTGTATGCAAGAGTACTTATTGTAGGGCCTGTGCGACAATAGACCATTAGATAATCATTAGCCTGCTCTATGTTCACTAGTTTAAAAACAACTGTTGGGCCAAAGCTCGAGAGGCGCCGGCGGAATCTAACGCGCGAGTGGCGAGCAGATTGGCTCACTTCGATAAGTTCTTGAATGGAGAACTTCTCTAAGGCCAAGGTAACATGCTTGTAAGCAAGCAGTACTGAGGGACGTTGAATAGAAATGAATTTTCTGTTTAGGAAGGTGACGTTTCACTTACCCGTTGTCAAAGAGATACCTATTGGTGGAGCTCCGCTATCAGTTGCAACAAGCTAGAATAAACGGCAAGAATCAGTAACATGCTCCCCGCCCCCTCCTCCAAATTAGCCGGACAACAGTTTCTCCAAACAGACAGCTGAACATTGGCTAGTATAGGGTACAAATACGTTAATCCCAGGAAACATCACCCCTTAATGCACAACATCCACTTCCCCTTTGTCGACATTTCCAGTGATTCCACGCTCAGGGGTAGAAATAACTTTGTCAAGATACATTGCTATGGGTTTTGGTTACCACTCCTATGTTCCGTGAACATCTACCAATGCTTGTTGACTATCAGAGGTCTTTTTTTCCCGCGCGTGCAGCGGGGTACTTCGATAACGGTAACAGACCTAAGCCGCGAGTCACTGTCACGAGAAATTGCGCAAGAAACGTCTCTGCTGTCCGAGGTATACTAAGTCCTTCGTGACTTTCAAAAATTTCCCTCCAACTCGATAATAAATAAATGTATCGAGAAAACAAACAAATTCGCTACCATGAATTGCGAGACGTAAATCAAACACTCGAAAGAGTTTTTTAATCTGGAATCCAAATAACCTTGACGTCACTATGCCTCATATTTTTCAACTCACTTCTCGTTTTCTGCCCGCTGGGGGGGGGGGGGAAGGGGTGTCTTTTTCAGGCTTCAGGTATATGAAAAGGTAGGGAAATCTGTCATTTGGGTCTGTGAAAGGTCCGAAAGGGTAAACAGATTTATAAAGTCGAGAAAATGTTTTAGTTTTGTGATTGATTCCTATTTAAATGACAGTGCATATACAGCAGTTCAAAGGGATGCAAAGTTCTAAACAAGGTATGTGAAAGGGGTACCATTTGTCAATAGAAGGTATACGAAAGCTGTACTTTTTTCATGAAAAGTGGTATTTCAAAGGGTAAGGGGATGGACCTCGGGGCGGAACCTCCCCGTATAAAAATATGTTGAGCAGCTCCCCGCTCTCCCCCACTCGGGGTCTTCTGCATGTTTTTTGAAACTTTCATCGGGTTTGATTCATTCCCTGTCTCATTGCAGTGTTCGGTATGTTACTGGGTGATACACTGATCCTAGATGACCTGGACTGTGCAAATAAATACAGACAACAGGTGAGTACACTTGATGTTGATGCATTTAAAGGTGATGTTACACGGGGCGATTCGCAGCAACGATTTGATTCGTTCCAACATTGCCGGCAATGCTGTGTCACGGCTGGCTATTTCAGGTTGTTAACATTGCCAATAACGCTTCCTTGTGCGCTATGGAACTTAACGTAAGCGAAGAAATTTTCTTGCAAACGACGAAATCACAGCTTCCTGTCAAATAAACGTCTTTCAAGCATTATATCAAACGTTAAATGCAACAAAAATGAACTTTGAAAACTATTAGGCGAACAAGTTTTCAGCTGGACAATGGCTCGGTCATTTTAAGGCCCTGAGAATTAGACTCGTAGAAGGTGGAATCCAGACCAGGCTCCATTTTTATAAAATGTGGTTACTATCCAGTGGATAACTCAATTCCTTTCCCTTATACCTATCCACTGGACAGATCTTTTATCCTGTAGATAGCGCTATCCAACGTTTGATCGACTATCAGCTTTCCATCAATGGAGCTAACTCTTTGGCGCGGGTTTTTCGAGCCTTTAACCTAATTCCAAAATTACAGGAATAGTTGTGGCTTTGAGACGACTGCAATTCAATAAAGAAAACTACTAATTTACGCCTGACTGTTGCGAACTTAACCAAAGACGTTTTAGAGCGACACACGTCAACCAGAAGTGGCCGTCATTGCATTACTGTGCAGCAATTTTTCCCAAATGTTCCGGCAACTCGTCTCAGTAAAAGTAAAAATACTTAGCAAGACACATTATTAGCTAGCCTCCCCGCAGACGTCCTTTGGGGTTCGTTCGTCACGCATTCATTTCTCCCCCACGGACTGTGTTTAGCAGACGTCCGTGGGGGAGAAATGAATGCGTGACGAACGAACCCCAAAGGACGTCTGCGGGGAGACATATTATTAGCGTCAAGGTATATTAAAAGGGAAAAAGCCTTACTTCCGGTTCACGTGCTACGTCCAGAAACGTCTTTGCTTAAGCTCTCTTGTGTATTGTTATGATCTAGGTTGTAAAGCACACTCATTGTCCTACGATTCTTACAAGAGGAGGAGATCTCATCAGAAGCAACGGTAAGTTATTTAGCCCATTAACCTTTAAGTGACTAGTGTTTAAGATTTCTCCTTATTCTTACACTGTTCAGTCAAACATGAATATTGATAACGAGTTGAGCTGCTAGGTCGCGCAATCCGTAATGGTGAGGTAGAATTTCTGCTTATTCTTAAACTGTTCAGTCAAACATGAATATCAATAACAAGCTGCTGGCAGGTCGCGCAATCTCACGTGATCTTGGAATGACGCAATAGTGAGGTAGAATTTCTCCTTTTTCTTACACCATTCAGTCAAACATAAATACCGTGAGAAAAAGCACATGATCAGCAAGTGAAAAAGGTCTTGATTACGAAGTTAATTCTCCTTGCAAGTAAGATATGCGTGTAGAACGTTGTGACGAATGTGTGTATTAATTTAGGTTTTAAAGGCTGGCACCATTCCCCGTGATACCGTTTCTTCTAGTGAGAATTTTCATCTCCATAGTCTTGCTCTCTTGCAAAGGTAAATTCGGCGGACTGCAGAACAAAGCTCCTCCTCTTGAGAGAATGCGCGGCGCAGGGCTCGCTGCGCCTCTTCCGCTGGCATTCCATTCACTGACAACGCAGAAGGGTGAGTGACAACTAAAGCTCTTCTTATTTTCCACCGCCGATGTATAACTCCAACATTGCTGCTAATGTTTTTCTTTATTCATTATGTTGTCAGAACAACTACAAAGCTTTTAAACAAGCCGTTATTAAACACACACAAGCCAAGGAAGAACTTTCGGTATGCTTAAAGAAGCGCATCGCATTGGTGCCTTTTTTTTTTTTCCTTTCGTACACAAATCCACCCTGCTGTCAGTCTTGTTTTCTTGAGTAGTCTAGAGTGCGGATGAGAAAAAGAAGCTCTGCCCAAATCGTGTCGAGTCTTGTTTTCACTCTTTCAGTCCCAAAAGTGAGCAACGTCAATTTTCTCCTAACAATATCCATATTGACAAGAGGCAAGGTTATGAGAATGAATAAAATGATCGCCAAAGAAAAATGCCTTGATCATTTATAAAATTCTCTCTACTAATTCTTAAGGGAAATGTATAGCGTTGCATGTGTATATTAATTGGGGATTAGAGGGTTAGGGTCGCTTTCCTTCTTGAAGAGTTGAATCCGCTACTTTTCTGTTCAGCTCGCGAGTTTCTTTTCAAAACAATCAGTTGGCAACGGTTACCTGATTGCCTAAATTTGTTCTTCTTGCATTTGAAGCGAATTCTTTCTCTATCACCTTTCTCTAACAGCTACAGCTACAGCACGGACAAACGGAGGAGATGAAAATTAAACACCGGGAATGCAGGAGGCTGAAACCCAGTTACGCATGATTGAGGAGCGTTTGGGCATGACTCCGGCCCAGTACAATATGCCTCCCAGTCCGGCCACTATGCTGCTGACAGAAATCAACACTCCACCTACCAGAACAGCTACCTTGCGTCGCTCCAGCGCACGAGCTGCAGCCGCGGCTACCGCTTCTCCGACCTTATCGACTCCGGTCGTAAATGGTACGAGCAACGCATCGGGAAACACAACTTCTCCGCGAACTGTCGAGGTGCTGCGATCTCCCCTGAAGATGTAAGAACCAGTAAACGAACGCGCCGATGAACAGAATGCAACTTAAAATAGTACAAGTTATGCTGGAGGTTGACACTACTTTAAACATGCCGCAGTGGATTTACAGTCAAAACCTTAAAGAACTTGCAAACATGATTTTGTGGTACCGATTATTTCTTAAACGAGGAAAGCCCGCCATGGAAGATGCTTCGCTATATTGTGCCATGCTTTAAAACCTGGTCTTCGTGCTCATTTAGGTTTACGGCTTTCCTTGTAAACGATCTACTGACTGAAAAACTGTACCTCTGAAGACTATGAGGAGATTCCATTTCTTAACAGATTATAACAATTTTTCACTTTGCTACTGTATCTATGTTTTCACACCCTCCTTCTAGAAGTTTATCATTATACGTGCTTTTGAAATTTACTTTGAGAACTTAGCGTAAAATTGATATTGTGCTCTGATTCTCTTTCATGCCGAATTATCTCCCGAAACTAAATCAAAAGTGGAGCCGACGTTTTTCAAGTTCACTCCATCTTCTTCAGTCTTGACCATCCACGTCTTATCTGAAATTGAAGAGGATACTTGATGTCTTCTCTTTTTTTATCTCTTGGTTGTAGCTAAAAATTGCCTTAATTAAATTGCATGACATTGCGCTTTTATATTAGAAACCTTAAGATCGAAGTTTTTATAGAGAGTTTTAGATCCGAGTTTACCGCGAACCTCTAACCGCTGGAGGTCACGTGACAAGTCTTTCGCGTCACGTTTGAGGTTTACGACGTGCGTTTTCAACGTGGGGAGGTAGGTTTTCACTTAGGTCATTTACCTGAATGCTTTTAACGTATAATTCTTGTTTATCTCACGTAATGATACAAAAATCTTGTGGAGCAAGTCTTTATCCATTAACAGAAGCACAAATTCGGCCGAAATACTAAATTTGATAAACCCTATTGGATCTTGAAAACAAGTGCCATTCATGGCTGCTGATTCAAAATGGCGGCGGTAAATTTGCAAGAAGAACTAATGTAAGAATTTACAGCTCTTAGCTGATAGATAACCCAGTGTTACGGAAAATTTCTTTTATTTTCACTGATTGATATTTCTTCTATTTCTAAATGGAAAAATAAACCAGAATCCACTTCTTTAATGCACCGCCAATCTAAATCGAATTATGTTTGAACGTCGAACCGCAAACGGGTAACCGCAAACCGCGGTTAGAGGTTCGCGGTAAACTCCGATCTAAAACTCTCTATTGCCCGGTGACGGCGAACGTCAAGAATTCACGTGACCAGTGCCCTGCCGTCAGAATTTGGGTTTGAGGTTCACATTTGTACAGCATGTGCGCGCTCTAGAGGTAAGTGATTTACTGCAAGGATTTTTGCACCCCAAAACATCCCAATCCCGCGTTTGAGAGGAAATACTACTTTTTAGAACTATTTCGCTTATTAGTTATCCAGTTCTTTTTCATAGGAACGTATTTTTGAAGACAATTTCTGAGCTAAAATAGTTTGCCGTTTGCAGTAAGATGACCAAACCTCGATCTTAAGGTCTCTATTCTTAATTTCAATTTGACTGAAATTCAGTTCAGGCCCCGGTTGTTCAAAAGCTGGATAGCACTATCCACCGGATAAATCACTATCCAACGGATACGTATTACGGGAAACAATTGCGTTATCAGCTGGATAGTGATTTATCCGCTGGATAGCGCTATCCAACGTTTGAACAACCGGGGCCAGTAGTCTTACTTAACCTTACTACATCCTACACGACACTAATTTATCCTCGTGTTAAAAGGTATTACGGTATTAAAAGATACTTTTTACCTCAAAGTATAGTATGAGATTAGTGGCAAATGAATGTTGAGAAATGGTTCGTTTTGTGTTAACGCGTAGAACTAGTTCGGTGTTGTGTTGAATGACAATTGCCGTTTTCAAACTGGAGACTGGAGACTGGATTATCCGTCTGAGAAGAATTATCCCAGACAGATAATACGTCGTAATTTGAAAACGGAACGGTCTTAATTTTGCATGGACAATCCGCCTGACTTTATCCATATGTTTTTCCGTCAATTTTGACGGATTTGAAGATGGATTATCCGTCTCAGACAAATAATCCATCTCAAGTGTAAGAAAGGCCGTTCAATTTGGACGGATAATTCGTCTGACTTTATTCGTCTTTTTAGAAGGAATTTTAGACGGATTATTCGTCTCAAATTCACACGAGACAGATAAGCTCATCCCATTTTTTCTGCCCACCCTCGTCCCCAGTGTCTTCTCGCTTTCCAAAAGACACTGGGACGAAGTTGTTCTTTCGTCCTGCAAAGCCTGGCACTAGAAAGGGTGCATTGCATAGTAGGATTCGTAGAACAAAACGTTTAAAGCACTCACCCCCCGGAGGTACTCTTGGAATTCTTAGTGGGGGTGTGCCGCCCCGTTCTCCAAATCCTAACCCTATATCAGACCTAAAAATGTCATTTTTCACACCCGTTTTCAGACCTGGCCTCTAAGAAATTATGTCACCATTACCTCGATCAAAACAGCAACAAAAATGATTTCTTAAAATCCATTTCGAATTCGTTCTTACTCATTTGGAATTGAAACCATGGTACGTTCAGTTCTGTAAAATTCTGAAAATAAGCCTCTCTATATATAAGCCCCCCAAACTCGTAACGCAAAAACCCCTCCGTTAAATCGCCTCTCCAAATATAAGCCACCCGGGGCTTGTACTTGAAAAATTGCCCTCAAATACAGAGTAAAACACAGCAAAAAAAGGTAAATTTACTTCCAAGTATAAGGCTAACCCAATCGATTTCGCGAAGCGCAAATTTCCCTCCGTAGATAAGCCCCTCCAAAAATAAGCCCCTCAAAAAGGGTCTTTGAAAAATACAAGCGTCGGGGCTTATTTTCGAAATTTCACGGTGTGATTAGGCTTACGTGTGAGCAGTAATAGTGGTCTATTTGGGACGTATTGTTATGCAAATGAGATTGATCGCCATACAAACCCTTCTAAATTTTGGAGTGATGACGGACACTATAGCGGATACCCATAGACCCTCTGTTACTAAGAACGCTAACTGTTGCTAAGAACCCAATCTGTTGCTAAGGAAAAAGGCGAGTGGAGTCAGTAGAGTGCAGAGTTGAGGGCGAAATCCGTCAAGGTTAGTGTTGAGGGTTAAATCCGTAAAGGTTAGTGTTGAGGGCTAAATCAGTCGAGGTTAGTATTGAGGGCTAAATCAGTCGAGGGCAGTGTTTAACCTTAACCAAGTGAGTGAATTTTCTAACCTAACCAGGCGAGTGAATCAGTCGAGTGCAGTGTTGAGGGCTAAATCACTCGAGGACAGTGTTGAGGGCTAAATCAGCCGAGTCCAGTGTTGAGGGCTAAATCATTCGAGTTTAATCTTTTACCCTAACAAGTCCAAGGTCCATTGTGAAGGGTCATGAAAGCACGCACGTTTTTCAGAGCATGACGTCACCTATTTGATTAAAGAGTTCAAAGTCCAATCTCTAAGGTCGTGACAGCGAACACGTTTTCACACAAGGATTTGCTGACTCAGCTGAATTTGTTTCTATTTTTAGATCATGACGTGGTTTATTTGATTACAAGAGTCCAAAGTGTAATCTCTAGGGTCATGAAAGTGTGCACGTTTTTTCACACAAGGATTTGCTGACTCAACTGAATTTGTTTCTATTTTTAGACAATGACGTCAACCTTTGAATAGAAAAGGTATAAAAGTCGGATATCTATAATGAACAATCAATTGAGATCCTTGTGTTGCAGTGTACACATCAATCATGTGCAAAGTAATGTATCCACGAGCTTGTCCTAAATGCGGGAAGAAAATCAGCAACAGAGGAAATTTCTCTCGTCATAAGAAACATTGTGGGACTTCCGAACATCGCGTACAATGTCCTCACTGTCCTAAGACATATTCAAGAAAAGATGATTTAAAGGCTCACGTTAAAAAATTTCATTCTGAAGCCGCCAAGCGAAAAGCCGAAGAAAATGCAGAGCTCTTACGTCTTGAGTTATTAAATTCTGAAAAGATTCCACGATTAAGCAATGACGAACAAATAGGTGGGGCTGTGACTACTAGAGGCATGAAAAAGGACCTTGAGAGTGGGAAGGAGAACCTAAACCTTGTGAAAGAAGAAGAACCAAAGCCAGTAAAAAGAAAATTAGAAGACAAAGGCGATGTTGACATGTCTCACTTGATGGACGATGGCCTGGATGACGTTTTCGTAGAAAGAGCCAATCGTTTGGAACTGTCTGAGAATCCCTTGTTCAAAGCCAATCTCACGTTTCTACCCTACAAACGCCAAGGTTTGAAGGGTGCAGTAAAGAAAGAGCAATTTTCCGTCACATTTGATCAGCTACGAAAAGCTAAAGACGAGGAATCTTTAGGCGATGGTTTGTCGGAGTCTCTGTTTGAAGCGGTACGAGATTTGATCCTGAAAGAAAAACTGTCGGATTCCACTAAAGTTCATCTCACTTTAACATCCAAGGAACATTCCAATGGAACAGTCAATTCAGGCTTTTTATCTCACGTAAAATATGGGATTCCCGTGAAGGAGTTTGTGAAGCGTGGCGATTACGTTCACACAATGTTTGAGTCACTCGCCCGTAAAATGAACAGTGCTCAAAATATGAACCCGGCGATTGGGTTCAATGCCACTCTCACATTTATTACCTACCCTCAAAAAGGTGGCAAAGGTAACGCTTCTAAAAATCCAAACCGTTTACCCTTTGATTTGATGCACAAAAAGAAAGATTGCATGATCAAGATCACAAACGCCGATGATTTATGCTGTGCCCGTGCCATAGTCACGATGAAAGAGTATGTAGATGGTGACCCTGACAAGCAATACGTTAATTTACGAAGAGGCAGACCTATTCAAGAACGCTTAGCCAAGCAGCTTCACCAAGACGCTGGTGTACCAGAATCCCTTGTGGTTATGAGGAACTAGAAAAATTTCAACCGTTTCTAGGACCCCAAGGCTATAAACTCATTGTGGTATATTACGTTTCTTGTGCGTGTATTTTTCAAGGCAATGTGGATCAGTATAGCAAAGTCATTTATTTGCTCAAACACGAGAATCACTACAATGGCCTACGAAGCATGATTGCGTTTCTGAATCGATCCTATTTTTGCCCTGATTGCTGTCAAGGGTTCAATACAGACGATTCAGCTCATCATTCCTGTAAGGGTAAAAATTGCAGTAGTTGTCAGCGAACCCGTTCTCAGAAAAATAATGGAGGCTGCCCCGATTTTTTCCCAGGCAAGAAACGTACCATTCACTGCAAAGACTGCATGAGAGATTTTTATGGACCAGATTGTTTCCAAGCCCATAAACAACCCAAAGGCAAGAAAAAAGTGAGTCTTTGCCAGTAGCTTAAAAAGTGTCTTAAATGTTGCAAAGTTTAAACAGTCAATCCAAAGAAGCCTCATAAATGCTATCATGACACTTGCCGTAACTGCAAGGAATTTGTTGAGATTTACAACCACAAATGTTACATTCAACATGTTGAAGATATCGAGGATGATGAGGATGACGAGGAAAAGAAACTTTCCCCTCTCACCGTATTTGCAGACATTGAATGTTTGATAGAACCTACAGAGCAGGGAAAGCAGCTATTCGTGGCTGATTTAATTCGTTATGCTTCCGAAGAAGATCCAGCCAGCGTATCCCATGCGTTTAGTGGCGAAACATGCATTCAACATTTCATTGATGCTATGAATGAATTATCCGAAGTGGGAGACAAACAGCGAGATTTATTTGTAATTTTTCACAACCTCAAAGGGTTTGATAGCAACTTTATCATTGAGGAACTTTACCGTCAAGGAATCAAAGTCGAAAACCAACTGACCACAGGCGCCAAAACATTGAAGTTTCATTACTGGTATATGGATGCCACGATTACCTTCAAAGATTCGCTGTGTTTTCTCCCCATGCCACTAGCAGAGTTGCCTGAAACATTCAATTTCGTGGAGCTCCATAAAGGTTTCTTTCCGCATGCGTTCCCTACAAGAGAGAATTTATCTTACAGAGGTCGTCTACCAGCAAAGCAGTATTTTCAACCACAAGCCATGAAACACAAGAAACGAAAGGAGTTTGAAAATTGGTACGAGAGGGAATTGGCAAGACAAGACGACTATGTCCTCTGGGAGGAGTTAAACAAATATTGCCATTCGGATGTGATGGTCCTCAAAGCTGCCTGCCTAAAGTTTAAAGAAGAATTTGAAGAAGAAGCGGGGTTTAATCCTTTTGCAAAATGTGCAACCATTGCCTCTGCATGCAATTTATTCTGGAGACGAGAACTCATCCAAGATGATACCATTGCGATAGAACCCTTGATCGGTTGGCGTGGCGCGAATGTAAATCAGAGCACAGCAGCTCTAGAATGGTTGTGTTTTGAAGATTTCAAACTAGGAGGAAACAAAATACGCCATGTAAGGAATGGTGGGGAGCAAAAGGTGATTGCCCAAGGCGAGGCCCTGTTTGTTGATGGCTATGATGACACCACCAAAACGGTCTACGAATTTCACGGCTGCTTTTTTCATGGATGTATCAAATGTTTCCCCAACCATCGTTACAGAAAGCACAACTGCCATCCAGATCGCACCATCTCAGAAATTTATGAAGCCACCTGCAAAAAGACACAGAAGTTACGTAACGCTGGCTATACAGTGATTGAAAAATGGGAGCATGATTTTGAGATTGAGAAGAAGACGCACCCCAATCTGATCGAATTTTTGAAGACCTTTCAGCTGTCTGAGCCATTGAGCCCTAGAGATAGCTTCTTTGGTGGTAGAACCAATGGAGTGCGTTTACATTGTGTTGCAGCAGCAGGAGAAGAAATTCGCTATGTAGACATCAATTCGCTTTACCCGTACGTCAACAAAACAAAAACATATCCAGTGGGTCACCCTGAGATTTTGGTCAATCCAACAAATCAAAATGTTGGCAGTTACTTTGGCATAGCAAAAGTTACGATTCTCCCACCACCCCATCTGCATCACCCGGTACTCCCAGTTCATATTGGTGGCAAACTCATGTTTCCCCTCTGTACACAATGTGTAAAAGAAGAGCTGGAAAAACCATGGCTAACTCGTACAGCGGTTTGCACCCACTCTGAGCAGGAACGTTGTATCACAGGCACCTGGTGTACTCCAGAGTTGCAGAAAGCAGTGGACTTGGGCTATAGGATTCTGAAAATTCACGAGGTGTGGAATTTTCCACAAAATCAACGCAAAGAGGGGTTGTTTGCAGACTACGTCAATAAATGGCTGAAAAATAAAACAGAGGCATCGGGCTGGCCCAAGAATTGTACCACAGAGGCAGCAAAGTCAGAATACATCAATGCTTACTATGACCGTGAAGGTGTGCAGCTGGAGCATGCAAAAGTAGCAAAAAATGGGGGACGGAAACAAGTGGCAAAACTTATGTTGAACTCGTTAGTATCTTTTGTTTCGTAGCATTTTACTTTGCAGGATGAAAATCGTTGAATACTTAATCTTATGTCTTTTCTATTTGCTTTTCCAGCTTCTGGGGCAAATTTGGTGAAAGACAAAACAAGACTCAAACCTTTACCGTCACAAGTCCTGCAGAGCTATATGCAATAATAGAAGATGTTGGTAACAACATACACGACATACGAATTTGCACTGATGATATAGTAGAAATTGATGTCAGTAAAGCTGTAGAAGAGGTCATTCCAAGCAATAAAACCAACATTTTTATCGCAAGTTTCACCACGTCATGGGCTCGCTTAGAGTTGTACAAGTATTTACGGCTGCTGAAACAGCAGGTCCTATACTTTGATACAGACAGCATCATTTATCTTTGGCGTAACGGTTTACCCGAAGTGGAGACAGGCCCGTTTTTGGGTCAGATGAAAGACGAAACCGCTGGCGTACCCATACAGGAGTTTGCGACAGGGGGTCCAAAAAATTACACTTACATGCTACAAAATGGTGAAACAGAATGCAAAATACGCGGTTTTACTCAGGATGAGCAGGGCAGTGCTCTGTTGAATTTTGAGTCCATGAAAAACAACATTTTAGGTGCAATCAACAACCCAGGGAATGCACCACACCCCATTGCAGTACCAGTAAGCATCAACATGGAAACAAATAGAACCAACAAGAAAATCTGTCTTACACCCAAAGTTAAGAATTATCGCCTTGTCTTTGAAAAACGAGTGATTAACCCAGTGGACTGTAGCAGCAGGCCTTATGGCTATGATTGGATAGGCCAACACACCTGAACTAGGCCTCCTAAGGCTTTTTAAGTTAGCATTTTTGCCTAGAGATGTGTACGCTAGGTTATTGATTCAATAAACGTGTGTAAGGATTATGTCTGCGTGATTGATTTACCTGACTACCTATCTCTTAAACAGAGCTAGATTGCCCTAACCCCACTCCCTTGCCCTAACCCCACTCTCTTCCCCTTACCCCTGACACTCTAACAGAGATTGCGAGGGTCTGGATCCTAGTGAGATGGACTTGCTGACTCAGCGTTTTTCAGGCATAAAAAAGGCAGAATGATTTTAGCGAACGTGTTAAACAGCAGTCACAATGTAGACAGTATCTATGCAAGATTTGGAACAATTTTCGTACTGGCAAGGAAAACGTCTGACTAGTTCTCATTGCTATGATATTTACAACCCAGTGATTTCTGTGGAGTTGATGGAATTAGCTGATCGTGTGGTAGCAAGCACTCTGTATGGAATTTAAATTAGTTATCATACTGATCCACGAGAACAATAGCAGCTGACGTCATCATGTAATTAACGGACACAACAATAGATTGACGTCATTCCATTAATCCATGACAACAAAAGCCGTTGACGTCATTGGGTGTAAATACAAAAGACTTGTCCAGACCTGCCCAGTGAACATGATGGTAACAAACAATAAATGACCCAAGCATACAGAAAATCTCTGGGGATCACTTTTGCGTACAAGTGCTAGGCAGTTTTCCCTTTTCAACTCATTACGTTTTTGTGCTAATAACGACGATGCAAAAGATAACGTATCCTAGACCTTGTCCTACTTGTAGGTAGAGTTTTAGCAAAGGCCATTTCTTTCAACATAAAAAGAGATGCGGTACAACAGAAAATCCAGTGAAATGCCCAGAGTGTTACTTAACTTTTGGATACAAACACGTTATGTTACGACGTGTAAGACAGCAACATTCGAACAACCCATTGCATTTTCCATGTATGATTTGTGATAAGATATTGACATCTGCTCCACCCTACACATGAAGACCGCTCATGGTGATGAAAAACCTTGCTTTGACTGCTGGTACTGCAATGCCACGTTTACATGACAAAATGCAAGACAAGATCACATGCGTCGTGTGCATGGACGTATTTGTAGAGAGCGAGAGGTAAATTTGTATCTTCATTCGCAACATTTAAGTGAAGAGAAGAACTTCAAGAACGAGTGACAATTTGCGGAATCCAGACCCATTGAACACGGCGAACATAACGTCAGCCTTTGTGGTCAAACACACATAGAATCGTACTTCTTTGTAGAAACAAATGGAACAGGAATCGCACCTTCGTGGACTCAGATTGTGTAACAAACGTGGATCCCAAAGCGGCAGCTGTGATTGGTTATTTCAAGCATATTTTAGAAAACACAGTGTAAGGGACATACAAGGGGCAAGATGAGAGGGGGATTACAGCGATTCGCAGTTCGCACAAACACTACTTTAGTACAGCGCCTGCACATCGTGGACCATTTACACCCACAAGTAAAAAGATACCCAGAGAGCGAATGGGAAGTAGTGGTTGTCTACCCTGAAGCAGAGACTTTGATTGTAGGTAAAACATATTCTCTGAAGTTGAAGGCCAAGTAGAAACAAGGGCAGCTTACTTTCACAGCATTGTAATTTCACTAGGTACGTCATTTGCTATATAAGGTAAATAAATCACACATTGTTTATACATTTCAACTGACTGTGTTTTATTCACTGACTGTTTTCTAATTTACTACAAAGTTGGGTATATTTTGACTGCAAGTCTGCGAGCTCTTGCTGGAGTTGAGCCACAGTAGGTTTCTTGGTTTTTTTAGGGGCCTTGAGCTGCTGACGATCACCTTCCCGTTGCTTCCTCATAGTTGGATAACTGTCTTGATCTTGAGAGAGTTTCTTATCTTCTTCTTGAATCATTTGATCCAAAATGACACTTTGCACTTGATCACAGGCAGCATTGACGATAGCTTGAGCTTCGGGGGAACTCATTTTTGGGTATGGTTTTATAGATTTCATTCTTTGCGGAAACGTACCATTCTTGAGATGTTTTTTGAACCCTTTGAGGGTATGCTCTCGATACTTGATTCTAGCTTTGATCGTCATCAGTTTTTGTCGATAACCCTTCAACCTGGTCTTGGCAGGCATGGTTTTTTCGGTGGGTTCATTACCAGTCTTGGAAGAAAGTGCTTGTACAGAACCACCCATAACAGACACGTTACCTCTAGGTAATCGAACGTACAACTGATAATGATAGACACAAATCCATTCTATTTATAGCCTGCGGTGAGGTATAAGAGAAAGGGGTGTGCTATTCTATCTATCATTTATCACAAATCATCATGTGGATAGGAGGGTATGACGATTGGACTCCCGCAGAACAGCGTGAATGGGATAGAGATCTAGAGGAAATGCAAGCTGAACGTGAGCAGAGAGAACGTAAGGCTAAGAACGATGATAAACTCTCCTGGATGGAATTGGCTCTGGATTATCCAAAGTTTAAAGCCACTTATACCAAAATTGGAGACACAGATTTGTATGTGGTAGATCTAAAGCGACAGACACCTAGCAAACAAGGGGAACGCAAGTTAGTGTTTGAAGTCGTCTACCCATTGTATCAAGGCCTGAATGCCATCCTTGAGAAAAGAAAAACACCCCAGACCTCTCTCATCCAAATAGAAGCCTCCTCCAGAGAACATGTTGAGGTGACCTACTCGTGTGAATGTACCCCTGACCAATGGTCTTATAACATCATGGACAAAATCTCAGAAGCCTTAGCTGACCAACTAACCATGAAACAAAACCTGGATCAAGGACTGCTGATGAAGATTTCTTTCTATGAGAAGTAAAAAAGGTTGCAGTAAAACTCTGCAAGTTAATTTCGTAACATGTTGAAAAAGTCTGCAAGTTAATTTCGTAACGTGTGAAAAAAGTGAGCAACTAACAATGATATCATGATTTTATTCAGGAGTGGTTTCAGCGGCCTACGTCGACCTTCATCGCCCTACATCGGCCTATACCAGCCTACATCGTCCTATATCGGCCTACATCGTCCTATACCGGCCTACATCGTCCTATATCGGCCTACATCGTCCTATACCGGCCTACATCGTCCTATACCGGCCTACATCGGCCTACATCGACCCGAATACTATAAATAGACAACGAGCACTCTTGTGTTACGATCATTTTGTGTTACGTTTTCATTGCGTTAACATACCCTACAAGTTCAGACGCATGTGTCCTATTTGTTATAGACAGGATTTGCTTTACTTAGCAAATCATTTACGTCAAGTGCATAAGTTATCGAGTGAGGAACGACAACCGCTATTAAAGGCAGCGTTATTTTCTCATCAATTGCCTCCCTCGTTTTCACCAAGAGATCATCCTCAAGGGCTGTATACACATCCCATTTTACAAGGACTGCCACAATATCCTATGACCATGAACCCACAGTTACAGCAACCCAGTGGGCATCAAGGTACTAAACAGCAACCACGAAAAGTAGCCAAGATCGAAGCAAGGCCGTGTTTACAGATGACACCCTATCCGGACTTTAAGTTTAATCACATGTTCTCGATGCTGGTAGTAGGCCCGACTCAATGCGGGAAAACATATTTTGTTGAACAGCTGCTAACAAAGAATTGTATCAAGTACCCTAGCAAGAAATCTACACGTATTTACTGGTTTTATAACCAATGGCAACGTTGCTATGCAACTTTGCAAAGAACGCTGGGTGATGAGATAGAGTTTGCCCAAGGTTTACCAGACCTGAGCGAAGATCTAAGGGAAATTGACCCCAAGTTTAACAACGTGTTGGTGTTTGCTGACCTCATGAGCCAGGCCACAGATAGTCCACTACTTTCGCTGTTATTCACTCAAGGGAGACATCGCAATGCGAGTGTGATATTATTGCTGCAAAATATGTTTCCCAAAGGAAAATTCAACACTGATATCAGCAGGAATGCTCAGTATATGGTCCTCTTTCGTAGCCCTAGTGATCGTAAGCAGATGGATATAATAGCAGAACGGATTTTTGCAAAAGATAAATCCAACTTTATGAGTGCCTATGTGAATGCAACCGAAAAGCCTTATGGGTATCTGTTGATAGACAATCAAATCAAACTCCTTCAGACAAACAGGTAGTCGCAGAGGTGTTTGAAAACTGTCACAGCTATCCCAAGATAACCACGGCTACTATACCCGCAAAGAACGAACCGCAGTTAGAGGCGACAATTCAAAATCCAAGCGAATCTCCTCTACAATCTAAACATTCACGAAAGCGCAAAGTAGAGCGGCAGACACAAGGGGCTAAACGCAACAGACCTACAAAGAAACAAAAGAAACATCCTGTGGCAAAACACGTTAAAGAAACACAGCGAAAACAACAGGGAAAGACAGGCTATACATCTACATTAAAACTCTCACCGGACAGAGACAGCGGAAATGAGAAACGTTTGAACTTTGATGAGGAACCCATTCATTTAACGCAACATCAGGTAAATGCGATGGCTAAACGAGCTGTTAAGGCAAGGGGAAGCAGCTTTGGTCCTAAGATGGTGTACGAATAACACTGCTTGAGAGAGTTCACTTGAGAGTCACAGTTTTTTAACTTTTAAATGCCATGTTTCACTGAAGCTGTAGTAGGTTAGAGGACTTGTGTAATAAAGAGTTTTCAAAACGCAGCTACGTGTTTTGTCTTGCTTTATTTTGCGAATTTAATAGGAATGGAATCTCTTATAGTTTTTGACTTCACAGGAGGTCACGTACTGTTACAGCGAGTCTAAACTTTGCAATTTTAAACACACAAGGATTTATTAGCAGTTTAAAGGCTAGCTTTTTAAACGACACGTTTATTTTAGAATGATTCACTCACAGGGCTACGTTTTCGCTAATAACACCTTTTTATAGCACTAAAGAGAGCGAACATCGATAGTGAAACTTTATTAGTTTTTGACTTCACAGGAGGTCACGCGCAGTTACAGCGAGTCCCAAACTTTGCAATTTTAAGCACATAAGGATTTATTAGCAGTCTAAAGGCTATCTTTTCTTAAAACGATACTTTTATTTTACAATGATTCACTCACAGAGGTTATTACCGGGGCTACGTTATGGCTGATAACACCTTTTATAGACAGCGAACATCAATCGTGAAATCAAGAATTGCGTGACGACAGTCTCTTACAGTTTACCCTTGCGAAGTATCCCACGCTGTTACAGTCAGTAGCATTTTTCAGTATTTTAAAGTCTTGGAACTAACTTCTAAACTACACATATCGCCTTGTCACAGACAACTTTCAGAATTAGTCGTCGATCTGTATTCTAAACTCACAGATTTCATTTTTATAGGGCAGGTTTATTTCGCAACCCCTTCAAGACTTTTCGTCACAAGTTTTTAACTTCAATTTTACTCTAGTTTACACTACAGGCAATGTTGCGAAGTGGTTATCGCATTGGGCTCATAACCCAAAGACGTCGCAATGCCTCCTTTTTTTTTTTTTTTTGGTTTGAATATTGCGATTCTAAGTTCAACGGCATGATAGAGTATTTTCGCTATTACAGACAGCTAGCTTTTATTTCAATTTAATTACATTTAAATATGATTACATTCAACCAGTAGCAAAGATTATTCCATCGAACAACAACGCAATTCTGCCGTGAACACTTTACTAAACGATCAAACAATACAATGCAGGTTTGAAGGAACGAGTGCAGACTCTCACGTTTGTTGAAATCTACTCACAGGGACCACTACATCATATTTTTCTGAGTTAAACCGTAAAACTGATTAGTATTCAACTCTCGACTTCAAATGAAAAGTTTACCGGTGCGTGAACCTCAACGAATTGAACTAAAAACCTCCCATCGTAGAATCGATCGATGCGATGGCCAAACGAGTGGTAAATAACAGCTGTAAAAAAACTAGCGAAGTGAAAACCAATCCTTAAAAATCCACACAAACTATTCGCTGAATTATTTCCATCGAAACTGCTACGTGATCGCTACGCTGTAAGCATTGCTAAATGTCTTATGACGTCAACCCGTAGCCTTTAATACTCAAATTTCCATAATCACTGTTATGCCAGCCGCGGTAGTCAAGATGAGATCGTGCGCAGGTAATTGAGATCCGGAGGTCGCAGGTTCGACTCCTGCGTATAAATTTCTTTTCTTTCTTCCAAGCATTCTAATTAATGCTCATCGAAGTAAGACGACGAAATCCGATGAGATCCGACTTAAAAACGAGAGGAAAAAAATCAATAACTGCTTAGAACTAATAAATAAATCTCAGTAGTATCGGTCGTCTGTTTGGCCCTCAAATGAGGGATGATGTCATCCCTCATTTGCATCATAATGGTTGCTGAATAGACGACGGATACTACTGAGATTTAACGTTAAAACTGTGACTCAAGTGAACTTCTCAGCAGCTGGACGAAAGCTGCTTCAACGCTCGTTTAGCCATCGCGTTACTGATGTTGCGTTAAATGGGGTTTCATCGAAAGTTCAGGCGTTCTCATATCTCTGTCGTGTGATCTATAACCTGTTTCGTTGTTGTGTTTTTCTACAGCAGGATGTTCTTTATGATCTGGTGTCTGCCCGCTCTGCGCTCGTGATGTTGGGTGGGAGAGACGCCTGGTGTCGCTCTTCGTTGCGGTATAGCCGTGGTTATCGGGATAGCGTGGTTCACGCACTCTGCGCCTGTTTGTCTGAAGGGGTTGATTTGGGCAGCCATGAAACTGGGCTTGCGTTCACGCTCGCATTGGTTTATCTTTGCGAAATCCTGCTGCGATCACTGGGGCGAAGGACCATGCTGCATTCCTGCTGATATCGGTGTTGAATTTTCGCTGAAGGCATGCTCGCGGCGATATTCGTGCGAATGGTAACTGCATGTGGTGCTCATGATCGCAGTTGTTAAACTTGGCAGGTGGCAGATCTTCGCTCGGTCTGGTGCTGGGCAAACTCTCCTCGCGGCGTTCTTTGCGCGTGCATGCCGTGGACTCAAAGCCATATCTGTGGGGCGGCTGTTCAAAAGCTGTATTTCCCGATCGACCTCGCATCGATAGTCAGTTCGATCTTAAACTCGATGACTGCTGTTGTACCTTGATGCTTGCTGAACGCTGGATGGGGGTTCTGATTATTGGTCGCAAAATAAGGATGTGCGCGCGTGTTGGTGGCTGAGGTGATGAGAACGGCTAACAGGGTTGTAGTTCTCGCTCGAACTGCGCTGACAAATGTCTGCTAAAATCTGTCTGTTCAAATAGGTTTGTGCGTCTGGCTGTTAACGCAAAAACAAAATGATCGGAAGTGCTCGTTTTCTGTATCATTCGAGGTCGGTGAACGATGTGAGCCCTGTATGGGTGCATGTGAGCCGATATGACGATGCAAACCACGATGTGGCTGGTATGGCCGATGTGGGGCGATGAAGATCGACGTGGGCCGCTGAGCCGCTCTGTAATCATGTGTTTGCTTTCACGTTGAAACAAATTAACGCGAACTTTCACATGTTACACTTGTTTTACTGCAATCCTGCTCAGAAAGTCTTCATCGGCGATTGATCGGGTGACTTTCGTGATGGGATCCAAACTTCTGATCGTTGCCGTTGGTCGAGGGGTGATCGCAGTGCGACTCTGGAGGCTTTGGATGAGAGATGTGTTTTCTTTCTCGGGATGGCATTCAGCCTGACGTAATGGTGAACGACTTCAAACACTGCGTTCCCCTGTAGGTCTGTCGCTGAATCTACCATCTGGCTCCAATGACTGGCTTTGGATAATCCAGGCCAGTCAGGGGGCCTTTCTTGGCCTCACGTTCTCTCTGCGTCGGCTGCATTCTGATCTCGATTCACGCGTTCTGTCAATCGTCATGCCTCTATCACGTGATTTGTGAAACGTCCATGCACACGACGCATGTGATCTTGTCTTGCATTTTGTCATGTAAACGTGGCATTGCAGTACCAGCAGTCAAAGCAAGGTTTTTCATCACCATGAGCGGTCTTCATGTGTAGGGTGGAGCAGATGTCAATATCTTATCACAAATCATACATGGAAAATGCAATGGGTTGTTCGAATGTTGCTGTCTTACACGTCGTAACATAACGTGTTTGTATCCAAAAGTTAAGTAACACTCTGGGCATTTCACTGGATTTTCTGTTGTACCGCATCTCTTTTTATGTTGAAAGAAATGGCCTTTGCTAAAACTCTACCTACAAGTAGGACAAGGTCTAGGATACGTTATCTTTTGCATCGTCGTTATCAGCACAAAGACGTAATGAGTTGAAAAGGGAAAACTGCCTAGCACTTGTACTCAAAAGTGATCCCCAGAGATTTTCTGTATGCTTGGGTCATGTATTGTTTGTTACCACCACGTTCACTGGGCAGGTCTGGACAAGTCTTTTGTATTTACACCCAATGACGTCAACGGCTTTTGTTGTCATGGATTAATGGAATGACGTCAATCTATTGTTGTGTCCGTTAATTACATGATGACGTCAGCTGCTATTGTTCTCGTGGATCAGTATGATAACTAATTTAAATTCCATACACAGTGCTTGTACTTGTGTCATCAACCAGCTATAACTTAACCAATCAAAGAGGGCTAACATGGTGCGTGCTAAGTTACACGTCCAAGGAAAGAATGCAAAGATGGGAATATTTGTCAACACCCCAAGACATCTTGTTAAAGGCAGAGGTAACGGTTCGACTGCTTGCAATGAAACATAAGATTGTGATTTCATTGGATACCCATGACGTGTAATCCAACGTTGAAGTGCACGTAATAAAGCATCGCTCATAGACATCAACAGACTTTCAGGCCAAGCAGGGACACGTAGTTGTTGAATACACAAATCCAATTGAATTTCCACCACCAAATCGTTATTAGCTACCACACGATCAGCTAATTCCATCAACTCCACAGAAATCACTGGGTTGTAAATATCATAGCAATGAGAACTAGTCAGACGTTTTCCTTGCCAGTACGAAAATTGTTCCAAATCTTGCATAGATACTGTCTACATTGTGACTGCTGTTTAACACGTTCGCTAAAATCATTCTGCCTTTTTTATGCCTGAAAAACGCTGAGTCAGCAAGTCCATCTCACTAGGATCCAGACCCTCGCAATCTCTGTTAGAGTGTCAGGGGTAAGGGGAAGAGAGTGGGGTTAGGGCAAGGGAGTGGGGTTAGGGCAATCTAGCTCTATTTAAGAGATAAGTAGTCAGGTAAATCAATCACGCAGAAATAATCCTTACACACGTTTATTGAATCAATAACCTAGCGTACACATCTCTAGGCAAAAATGCTAACTTAAAAAGCCTTTGGAGGCCTAGTTCAGGTGTGTTGGCCTATCCAATCATAGCCATAAGGCCTGCTGCTACAGTCCACTGGGTTAATCACTCGTTTTTCAAAGACAAGGCGATAATTCTTAACTTTGGGTGTAAGACAGATTTTCTTGTTGGTTCTATTTGTTTTCATGTTGATGCTTACTGGTACTGCAATGGGGTGTGGTGCATTCCCTGGGTTGTTGATTGCACCTAAAATGTGGTTTTTCATGGACTCAAAATTCAACAGAGCACTGCCCTGCTCATCCTGAGTAAAACCGCGTATTTTGCATTCTGTTTCACCATTTTGTAGCATGTAAGTGTAATTTTTTGGACCCCCTGTCGCAAACTCCTGTATGGGTACGCCAGCGGTTTCGTCTTTCATCTGACCCAAAAACGGGCCTGTCTCCACTTCGGGTAAACCGTTACGCCAAAGATAAATGATGCTGTCTGTATCAAAGTATAGGACCTGCTGTTTCAGCAGCCGTAAATACTTGTACAACTCTAAGCGAGCCCATGACGTGGTGAAACTTGCGATAAAAATGTTGATTTTATTGCTTGGAATGACCTCTTCTACAGCTTTACTGACATCAATTTCTACTATATCATCAGTGCAAATTCGTATGTCGTGAATGTTGTTACCAACATCTTCTATTATTGCATATAGCTCTGCAGGACTTGTGACGGTAAAGGTTTGAGTCTTGTTTTGTCTTTCACCAAATTTGCCCCAGAAGCTGGAAAAGCAAATAGAAAAGACATAAGATTAAGTATTCAACGATTTTCATCCTGCAAAGTAAAATGCTACGAAACAAAAGATACTAACGAGTTCAACATAAGTTTTGCCACTTGTTTCCGTCCCCCATTTTTTGCTACTTTTGCATGCTCCAGCTGCACACCTTCACGGTCATAGTAAGCATTGATGTATTCTGACTTTGCTGCCTCTGTGGTACAATTCTTGGGCCAGCCCGATGCCTCTGTTTTATTTTTCAGCCATTTATTGACGTAGTCTGCAAACAACCCCTCTTTGCGTTGATTTTGTGGAAAATTCCACACCTCGTGAATTTTCAGAATCCTATAGCTCAAGTCCACTGCTTTCTGCAACTCTGGAGTACACCACGTGCCTGTGATACAACGTTCCTGCTCAGAGTGGGTGCAAACCGCTGTACGAGTTAGCCATGGTTTTTCCAGCTCTTCTTTTACACATTGTGTACAGAGGGGAAACATGAGTTTGCCACCAATATGGACTGGGAGTACCGGGTGATGCAGATGGGGTGGTGGGAGAATCGTAACTTTTGCTATGCCAAAGTAACTGCCAACATTTTGATTTGTTGGATTGACCAAAATCTCAGGGTGACCCACTAGATATGTTTTTGTTTTGTTGACGTACGGGTAAAGCGAATTGATGTCTACATAGCGAATTTCTTCTCCTGCTGCTGCAACACAATGTAAACGCACTCCATTGGTTCTACCACCAAAGAAGCTATCTCTAGGGCTCAATGGCTCAGACAGCTGAAAGGTCTTCAAAAATTCGATCAGATTGGGGTGCGTCTTCTTCTCAATCTCAAAATCATGCTCCCATTTTTCAATCACTGTATAGCCAGCGTTACGTAACTTCTGTGTCTTTTTGCAGGTGGCTTCATAAATTTCTGAGATGGTGCGATCTGGATGGCAGTTGTGCTTTCTGTAACGATGGTTGGGGAAACATTTGATACATCCATGAAAAAAGCAGCCGTGAAATTCGTAGACCGTTTTGGTGGTGTCATCATAGCCATCAACAAACAGGGCCTCGCCTTGGGCAATCACCTTTTGCTCCCCACCATTCCTTACATGGCGTATTTTGTTTCCTCCTAGTTTGAAATCTTCAAAACACAACCATTCTAGTGCTGCTGTGCTCTGATTTACATTCGCGCCACGCCAACCGATCAAGGGTTCTATCGCAATGGTATCATCTTGGATGAGTTCTCGTCTCCAGAATAAATTGGATGCAGAGGCAATGGTTGCACATTTTGCAAAAGGATTAAACCCCGCTTCTTCTTCAAATTCTTCTTTAAACTTTAGGCAGGCAGCTTTGAGGACCATCACATCCGAATGGCAATATTTGTTTAACTCCTCCCAGAGGACATAGTCGTCTTGTCTTGCCAATTCCCTCTCGTACCAAGTTTCAAACTCCTTTCGTTTCTTGTGTTTCATGGCTTGTGGTTGAAAATACTGCTTTGCTGGTAGACGACCTCTGTAAGATAAATTCTCTCTTGTATGGAACGCATGCGGAAAGAAACCTTTATGGAGCTCCACGAAATTGAATGTTTCAGGCAACTCTGCTAGTGGCATGGGGAGAAAACACAGCGAATCTTTGAAGGTAATCGTGGCATCCATATACCAGTAATGAAACTTCAATGTTTTGGCGCCTGTGGTCAGCTGGTTTTCGACTTTGATTCCTTGACGGTAAAGTTCCTCAATGGTAAAGTTGCTATCAAACCCTTTGAGGTTGTGAAAAATTACAAATAAATCTCGCTGTTTGTCTCCCACTTCGGATAATTCATTCATAGCATCAATGAAATGTTGAATGCATGTTTCGCCACTAAACGCATGGGATACGCTGGCTGGATCTTCTTCGGAAGCATAACGAATTAAATCAGCCACGAATAGCTGCTTTCCCTGCTCTGTAGGTTCTATCAAACATTCAATGTCTGCAAATACGGTGAGAGGGGAAAGTTTCTTTTCCTCGTCATCCTCATCATCCTCGATATCTTCAACATGTTGAATGTAACATTTGTGGCTGTAAATCTCAACAAATTCCTTGCAGTTACGGCAAGTGTCATGATAACATTTATGAGGCTTCTTTGGATTGACTGTATAAACTTTGCAACATTTAAGACACTTTTTAAGCTTCCGGCAAAGACTCACTTTTTTTCTTGCCTTTGGGTTGTTTATGGGCTTGGAAACAATCTGGTCCATAAAAATCTCTCATGCAGTCTTTGCAGTGAATGGTACGTTTCTTGCCTGGGAAAAAATCGGGGCAGCCTCCATTATTTTTCTGAGAACGGGTTCGCTGACAACTACTTCAATTTTTACCCTTACATGAATGATGAGCTGCGTCGTCTGTATTGAACCCTTGACAGCAATCAGGGCAAAAATAGGATCGATTCAGAAACGCAATCATGCTTCGTAGGCCATTGTAGTGATTCTCGTGTTTGACCAAATAAATGACTTTGCTATACTGATCCACATTGCCTTGAAAAATACACGCACAAGAAACGTAATCTACCACAATGAGTTTATAGCCTTGGGGTCCTAGAAACGTTTGAAATTTTTGTAGTTCCTCATAACCACAAGGGCCTTCTGGTACACCAGCGTCTTGGTGAAGCTGCTTGGCTAAGCGTTCTTGAATGGGTCTGCCTCTTCGTAAATTAGCGTATTGCTTGTCAGGGTCACCATCCACATACTCTTTCATCGTGACTATGGCACGGGCACAGCATAAATCATCGATGTTTGTGATCTTGATCATGCAATCTTTCTTTTTGTGCATCAAATCAAAGGGTAAACGGTTTGGATTTTTAGAAGCGTTACCTTTGCCACCTTTTTGAGGGTAGGTAATAAATGTGAGAGTGGCATTGAACCCAATCGCCGGGTTCATATTTTGAGCACTGTTCATTTTACGGGCGAGTGACTCAAACATTGTGTGAACGTAATCGCCACGCTTCACAAACTCCTTCACGGGAATCCCATATTTTACGTGAGATAAAAAGCCTGAATTGACTGTTCCATTGGAATGTTCCTTGGATGTTAAAGTGAGATGAACTTTAGTAAAATCCGACAGTTTTTCTTTCAGGATCAAATCTCGTACCGCTTCAAACAGAGACTCCGACAAACCATCGCCTAAAGATTCCTCGTCTTTAGCTTTTCGTAGCTGATCAAATGTGACGGAAAATTGCTCTTTCTTTACTGCACCCTTCAAACCTTGGCGTTTGTAGGGTAGAAACGTGAGATTGGCTTTGAACAATGGATTCTCAGACAGTTCCAAAAGATTGGCTCTTTCTACGAAAACGTCATCCAGGCCATCGTCCATCAAGTGAGACATGTCAACATCGCCTTTGTCTTCTAATTTTCTTTTTACTGGCTTTGGTTCTTCTTCTTTCACAAGGTTTAGGTTCTCCTTCCCACTCTCAAGGTCCTTTTTCATGCCTCTAGTAGTCACAGCCCCACCTATTTGTTCGTCATTGCTTAATCGTGGAATCTTTTCAGAATTTAATAACTCAAGACGTAAGAGCTCTGCATTTTCTTCGGCTTTTCGCTTGGCGGCTTCAGAATGAAATTTTTTAACGTGAGCCTTTAGATCATCTTTTCTTGAATATGTCTTAGGACAGTGAGGACATTGTGCGCGATGTTCGGAAGTCCCACAATGTTTCTTATGACGAGAGAAATTTCCTCTATTGCTGATTTTCTTCCCGCATTTAGGACAAGCTCGTGGATACATTACTTTGCACATGATTGATGTGTACACTGCAACACAAGGATCTCAATTGATTGTTCATTATAGATATCCGACTTTTATACCTTTCCTATTCAAAGGTTGACGTCATTATCTAAAAATAGAAACAAATTCAGTTGAGTCAGCAAATCCTTGTGTGAAAAAACGTGCACACTTTCATGACCCTAGAGATTACACTTTGGACTCTTGTAATCAAATAAACCACGTCATGATCTAAAAATAGAAACAAATTCAGCTGAGTCAGCAAATCCTTGTATGAAAACGTGTTCGCTGTCACGACCTTAGAGATTGGACTTTGAACTCTTTAATCAAATAGGTGACGTCATGCTCTGAAAAACGTGCGCGCTTTCATGACCCTTCACAATGGACCTTGGACTTGTTAGGGTAAAAGATTAAACTCGAATGATTTAGCCCTCAACACTGGACTCGGCTGATTTAGCCCTCAACACTGACCTCGACTGATTTAGCCCTCAACACTGCACTCGACTGATTCACTCGCTTGGTTAGGTTAGAAAATTCTCTCACTTGGTTACGGTTAAACACTGCCCTCGACTGATTTAGCCCTCAATACTAACCTTTACGGATTTAACCCTCAACACTAACCTTGACGGATTTCGCCCTCAACTCTGCACTCTACTGACTCCACTCGCCTTTTTCCTTAGCAACAGATTGGGTTCTTAGCAACAGTTAGCGTTCTTAGTAACAGAGGGTCCATGGGTATCCGCTATAGTGCCCGTCATCACTCCAAAATTTAGAAGGGTTTGTATGGCGATCAATCTCATTTGCATAACAATACGTCCCAAATAGACCACTATTACTGCTCGTGTGACCTTAGGATTGTGCCCTGTTCACGTTGTGAGCTTCGACCGTGCTCGTGATATTAGAGTGCGCGCCTCTCACTCGACTGTTTGTTAACCAAACACGAATGCTTCTGCAAGTAACAGCAGGATATTGTGTTCCGTTTACTGTTTTCTGACGTGGAATTTAAAAAGGACATGTAACAGGTATGTGTGAGAAATATACGTAATCACCACGAGGAGCCGCAAGCAGTAAAATTTCTGTCCCGTAATTTAATCAGTTAAATCATCAAAGTTGACAGGTCTTTCTGGTGATCAAAGCGACCGTTCGGTTTACCATTTACTCCTTCAGTGCGAAGACTGTCACGGGAACATTAACACCTTCAGGATAATTGCTTACCATAACAGTGGTAGGTCGCGCGTCTGGTCGGTTTCGAAGAACGTGATCGTGACTGTTGTTTTCATTCAGTGACTGTGCGCGTTGATATGCCAACGTTTAAAACAGATTGCAACATTAAACTTTTGCTATAAAAGCAAAGAAGCTGCTGAGTAGAAACTAAACCGCCCCAGACTTATTCCGTTTCGTTCGGGTACTTTCATTTTGATGGGGTCTGTATGATGAATTTACTTCTGCCTTCTAATCAGGCACGTAAACAACATAGAGATAAAACATTTCATTTTGCTTTTGTGGAGTAAATTCATCTTAAAAAAGTTAAACTAGTGGACCACTTTCTCCGCGTACTTGTAAAAATAGGCATTTTATATGTCGCGCTACAGTGCGAAAATCTTCTTGTTGTGGATTAGATTTCAGTATACATATTCTTCATTTCGCGCCAGAATAAATTAGTTTGCGCGCAAAGGGCTTCTAAAAAAAGATCACAAGGTTTGTCCCACGTCGAGTCCACCTTCTGGAGATACGCCGGCATGGTAGCTGGAATACATTGCCGAGGCGAAGATCTGGCATTTTTCCTCCTCGTCTTTTTTTTCTCCGCGACGTTTGTTTATATTTGTAGTGAGAATGCCGCGCATATCGGTGGATTTTACTTCAGTCAAGCGGCTTCAGTTCCTGCGGCTTGCTACTCATCATAAAGAAGAGTGCCGGAATCGCTCTGTTCGCCTTTAACAGATTTGTTGTCGAATGCAAGGTAAAAGAACGGACTACTGTAAGGTAAGAATTGAAGTTTAAATTTGTTTGTCGGCGAAAAATAGTGCATACAACTCGTGAAACCCGTGAGTATTACCTCCGTTTAATATACCGGTTGTCATGCGATGCCCCCTCGCTTTTACGATGGATAGGACGGATACAAACAATAATTTCTTTCGCAACGTTTAGTATCATTTACTTAATATGGAGATCATCTGAGGAAGATTTTTCGTCATATATGCTTCATTTCTTCGCTTATTCCGGCTACGTGCGAAAACTTAGATGACAATGTTTGTGTGCTATAATTATACTGATAATTTCTTGCACCTTGAAACTCATGAAAGCCAAACTTGTTTAACCCTAGCAAAAAAACTCTTTTAATGGAGGAACTCAACCTGATAGTTGCACTAAAATCTAATAATTGTTACTGCATTTACATGCTCTCTGTAACCTCGTGGGTAGAACAGACCTGATGGTTACATTAATGATAATCATTGCATTTTCTCTTTGTAACCTCGTGGGTAGAACATACCTGATGGTTACATTTAAAATAATAATCACTGCTTTTGCTCTCTGTAACCTCGTGGGTATAACATACCTGAAGGTTACGTTAATAATAATCATTGCACTTTCTCTTTGTAACCTCGTGGGTAGAACATACCCGATGTTTACATTAATAATATCACTGCATTTGCTCTCCGTAACCTCGTGGGTAGAATATACCTGACGGTTACATTTAATAATAATCACTGCATTTGCTTAGTGTAACCTCGTGGGTAGAACATACCTGAAGGTTACGTTAATAATAATCATTGCATTTTCTCTTTGTAACCTCGTGGGTAGAATATACCTGACGGTTACATTTAATAATAATCACTGCATTTGCTCTCTGTAACCTCGTGGGTAGAACATACCTGAAGGTTACGTTAATAATAATCATTGCATTTCCCTTTGTAACCTCGTGGGTAGAATATACCTGACGGTTACATTTAATAATAATCACTGCATTTGCTCTCTGTAACCTCGTGGGTAGAACATACCTGAAGGTTACGTTAATAATAATCATTAAATTTTCTCTTTGTAACCTCGTGGGTAGAACATACCTGATGGTTACATTAAAAATAATCACTGCATTTGCTGTCCGTAACCTCGTGGGTAGAGTATACCTGATGGTTACATTAATAATAATCATTGCATTTTCTCTTTGTAACCTCGTGGGAAAAAAAATTAATGCCGCTCTCCTGGAAATTTTGCCCTGTCCTTTGAGCAGAGTGATCTTTGGGTAGCGAATTCACGAAAACAGGTAAAACGCTTTTTTTAACAACAGCATTTATATTATTTGGCTTTTTGATGGAGGTTAAACATTAATGGAATAGAATACAAAAAAAGCTGATAAAGCGGAAAAAGTTATCTTTACAAAATACGCTTTGACAATGTCAAGGAGTAAAATAAGCTGAAGTTTTGTAGTTAGCCCGAAGAAAACCTGTTCCTGCATGAAAAGCAGTTCTGATTCCCTTCTCTTAACTAGAAGAGATGCATATCCCTGTGAACCCGTTTTTTAACCGGGAGCGATTCCCACTCACTTAAGATACTTTATTGACACGAGTTCCTATTTCAATATATGTCTAATTCAAGCTTAGCCGCGTGATAGCTCTTCATTAGCGAAAAGGTCCAAGTGATATTTTGATTGACGTGTTGTTGTGGATCCTGAGGTTTTTTAACACCTTTTCTCTAGCTTAACTGGCGAAGATATTCTAGGAATTTGCCCTTCAATTCCAAATTCTTTGATGTGCCGCCAGATGCCGTGCAAAAATATCACCTCTTGCGGCTCCTCGTGTTTCATTTTTCGGTGAAGTTAAAAAAATTTTGCTCTACTGTCAGCGTTTTAGAACTGAAGCATGTGTTCCTTCTTCATCTTTATCATTCTTCTGACATTTATTTGGTTTCAGTTTTTTGAATCTACTATTTAATGGTAAAGCTTTCTTATTTATTGCAGCAGTTCTTAGTGACTAGGTCTAATCATAGCAAACAACGTCTAATTTCTCAGAGTATCACTGCTTATCATGGAAAGGTCATGAGATAATTTAGAGTATAGTCGATGATCGCTAAACAAAACCGTCATCATTTTGTTAAGAGCCACATGCAATATCGACAACCGGGTGGAAATATACATTACCAGGCAAAGAAATGTAAAGAATATCACCTTTCACAGTAGATTTGTTTTTAACCCTTTTTCTCCAGCTGCT